AGTGGCTTTGACCATTCGAGCGCCTGTATCAACCTTACTGATGCTTGCCAACAATTTTTAAACATTTCATCACTTCATACTGATCACTCTTCACTATTTCTTCTCGTTTTCTCTTTATTGTTATTGCTATTCTCACCATTTCCGTTGATTATTTTTCAATATTTTATGGGTTGATTGGCGGAACATGGTTGTTTTTTTTTTTTTAATACTTGAATAATTACTTAAAAGCTCTACAACACTTCATTGAGATACATGAAAAAAAGTTCGAATTTTTCTGTACAACAAAAGTGACATTAATAAATATATTGATTAAAATTTTTATATAATATTAGTACAAACTAAAAAAAAATATGTTGTATTCAATTATTATCTAGAGACTTGTTGATTTTTTTTCCGGCAAATCCTGATGGTAACGAGACAACGATTTCCCATGAGTTTTAAGGGAAAAATTATATTTGTAATGAGGCGACCAATTTATGGATATGAATCTGGGGAATTTAAAAATCCAATAATGATAAACTTTGTATATAAATAATAATAAATAAAAAGGCTGCTAAAATACTGATTATTTGTAAATATTAAAATTTAAAAATAGCTTGAAAATAAGTTTTTGAATATTTTATATTATAAATTCAAATAATTTTGTGATCATTTAAGCGTATTTGGTTAATTAGATAGGATAATAAATATTAATCAAATTAATTAGTGACAAAGAAATTGAAATGAAAAATTTCAGTTGAAATTGAATGAATTAAAATTTTTTACTCTCATTTATTTTTTGCAAGTATTAAGAGCAGTAAAACTAAGTAAAATGACGGTGCAATTTACTTCCTCCCAAGATGATTAGACGAACTCAATAGAGGCGGGTTAAAAATTCCAACAATTTTCAAAGAAACTTGATAGTAACTTCCATAAAAAAAACAAAATCACTCGGGGAGTCTAATGAAAGCGTTATTTCAAGTAAAATTTTGTCAACTTATATCTATCCTTTTTTTTTATTTCTAATTCACTTCTAGTCGATGTTAGGGTATTAAGGATTTTCTCTGAAATGAACACGACAGTGTTAAATCTCTTTGAGGTGACTTCCTCGTTTCGCCACTTCGTCATTCGTCTTTTAGACTTGCTACGCTATTTCTCTAACTCTTCGTGACGGAAACTTGGTGATTTAGCGAATTTGACGTTGTATTTTAGAACTATTCCAAGTCTATGTAATAATGAAGTGACACAAAAAAATGACTTTCTTTAAATAATAAATTTCGAGGAGATGAAAATTGAATGTCATTATTTCGTGGAAAAATTTCTCACATGTTTCACTTCGAAAAATGTCTCAGAACGTAGACAGATCTATTAAAGCAATTTGATAAACACTTACTAAGACTTTAAGATGAGAGATAATTCATTCAATAAAATTTATCGAATAATTTATTGATTAAACTATCTAATTTTTAAAATATTCAATACTATTCCAAAGGTTAGAAAAATATTTCTATCCAAATTTCTAATTAAAAATAATCATCGTTTATTTTTTATTTTGTTTTTCAAATCACACACTTTGTTAACTAAAAAGTATTGCATGCAGCCAATGGCAAATACTCTCCCAATCAATAATCAATAATGAAAGTTACAATGTTTCAATTAAAACAGAAGCCAACAAACCTCTTTATTGATTAAAATAAATAATTTAATAATATTTTTTATTAAATTAACAACTTTTAAAACTACGTCTTCATAAAACTCAAACTTTTGCCTACAAAATGGAATAAAACTACTAATTACTGAGTGAAAATTGAAGCATTCTATAGATTTGTAATTTATCAAAATTTTTTCTAATTTATTAATGAAGCTCATTAAAAATCACAAAGCTACATTCTATAAAATTTTCATATGAATGTGCATATTCAGAAAAAGTCAACTGAGCATGAAGCTTAAGCTACCGATCAACTTTCTGTTGTTGAAAATTTCATAGAGATGTTTACCTATGAAGCAAACAGACTTAAAAGAGCGATGTAAAATAATAATTTTTTTCAATTGATCAGCAAATACAATAGCAAGTAAGCAATATTTATTTGTATATATTTACAAATGAAAATGTAAATATTAAAACTTTCCCAATGAATTCTTACGTAAATATCTTTATAGCAAATATTAAAATTTCTAACTTCAAAATTTTCTATATTACAAATGCTTTTTAAAAATTTTTTTATTTTAAAACCCATGTATCTCTATTATTTTTTATCATTTTAATCTCAAAGTTACCAAGAAAATTCTTTATTTTTAGTTGTTGATAACTAAAAATATCCTCTTATACTGTATGAATCAAAACAGAAGGAAAATAAAAACAACAATAGTTTTTTCATTTAGGCAGAAAAAAATAAATACGAATTTTATGTATCACTATACGCACTGTAATTCATAACAATCTGCTATGAATGCAATTATAAATGCTAACAAAAGATTGAATGAAAAAGAAAGCATTAATTTTTATTTTCTATAGGTGTTTTTATTATGATTATTTTTTTTATTTATTTTTTTTTTTTTTTGGCAGACGAAAAACATCCGTTCGACGATAATCGAAGCGCACAGAACATAGAGATAGATTACAAAGAATGTAAGAGGAGGAGAAAGGGGATTGACTCGATAGCTTTTCAGAATTTTTAATAAGCGACATCGGAACGTTCACCGCAGAGAAAGAAGGATGCAAATTCAGTGAATCCACTGCTATGAAGTAGAGACAAACAGATGAGAGGATAGAATAGAATAGTGAAGGTAAAAGAGAAAGAGAAAGCAGGCATCACCAAGAGAGAAGGATAAGAGGCCAGAGGCCTCTCGTAATTCTGGTATTAAAATTGCAAACTGTGCAGCTTGCAAAGCTTCGTCTGCGACTTCGTCGATCCCCTTTCATCTTCATCACACTCTACATTTCTGTTTCTCTTCAACCAACTCTAAGAGAGATGTTACAACTAAATGAAAACTGCTGTTTAGACTCTTCTCAGTCAGTGTTATATTAAAAATCATTCTATTGTACAATTTTAAATCGCAAACAAATGATACATATAAAATTAATAATTCACTCCGAATAAAATTCTCTTTTCACAATGAAAAAGAAATCCTGCATAAGCATATCATTTAATGAAAAAATTTTTCTTATAAATTATATTGCACTGGATAAATATTTTATGTCTTGATGAAAAAAATATTGAATATCTGATATTAATTCTCTATTTATTTATATAAATTTTTTTTTCATATAAATAAAAATCAATAAACATATAAATTTTATCGATCAATAAGGAGTAATTATAAATATTATTAAAATTAACTTAATGACCTTTTCGTTCATTATGCAAATATTTATTCTTCTCTCAAATCAATAGTATGCTATTATGAAGTTTTCCACAGTAATTCGAATAAAAAAAAATTATTCCCCGATTTAAAAGCGTTTGAATGTAAAATAAAATAAAATTCAATTCACCATCAAAATACTTTAAGTTGTAGAAATGCATATATTTAATTTTCATTCTGTCCCTATCTATTATATTTCGAGGAATATCAAGTAAACATTACGAATAAACTCCACTGAGATAATCAAAAACGATGAAATTTCCTCGTGAGACACGTCTAACAGCAATTTACTCATAATCTAGCTAACTTACGTTTACCTTCACATCCGTAAGTGTTTATAAACTCACATCTTTCCATCAAATTTTCTTCTGTCAATTATCTCTACTCATATCCTACCTAATGTTCATGTTGATACTCATTATGTTTATAAATATTCTTTCTAGTGATCTAAATAAATAAAGCTTGCAAATTTCATTCAAGAAAAAGGTTTGAGTCCGTTCAAAATTTGATTATAAAAAAATAAGACATGTAATATTATTCCGAGTATTCATATCCCTCTAAAATAGGCCTACGTTTTTGTAGTTAAGGAAACATTAATTTTATTTAATTAATAATATAAGACTTACCGATATTTGCTCCTTCCTTCTTTTCTCAGATTAAAATTGTATCAATCCAATCTTGTGTTCTTCAACTTCAAACACAATAATAGTCGATATGAGTAATAATGCGAATTTAACACACAACACGAAACTTGTTTTGGAAAAGAAAAACCGTAATGTAAACACTCGCGACGACCTTGTTTATCAGATCGAATTGAATTGCACGTACACGAAACAGATCCACTAGAAAAAACGTTTATTATTTCTATTGATCAAAATTGACTTAATTTCTAAAAATAAAATTATGCTAATAATTTTGTAAATTTATTCGCAGTGTAATTAAATAACAATTATTTAACCATTCATTTTCCCGCGTTTTGTAACACCGTCAACGCCATCTTGATACACTCGACTTTTGAATCACAGATACGTATGCGGCACTTTTTTCAGCTCACAATTTTTATGTATTTAAAAAAAGTTTAACCAAAATTAATGGATAAAGTTGTTATAATAGTATTTTTCTGACAGAAAATATCAACAATAACAGCTAACACTTGATTCTAGGTATTTATAAGCCACTGCGATGCAGAGTCATTTATGGAGCATTCTTGCTACTCCAAAAGCTTTCCATATAAATCGCGTTTAATAATTCTAATATTCAGTTATTATAATAAACTTACAATTCCATTTGTTGTCTAAACGTAATAGATTATTATTATACGTTATTTATATAAAGGCAGTCTTCAGTATTCATAAAAATACGATAAAAACGCGGAGATACCTATCTCTACACCTTACCCGGTTTACTGCTATCGACGCCATCTTAAGCCGCGAGATTTGGGGGGAAGAAGAAACATTTGACGCATGCGCGTACGTACTCCTGCACACTTAACGGCAGGTGGAAAATTTGAAAAGTTCAATAATTTCATTTAGTTTCTAGTAATTATTTTGAATTATTCTTTATTTTAAAAAATAAATTTAAAAAAACTGAATCAATTAAACTGAAAAATGTTATAATATTTAATAATAACTCAAATTAAAAAAATAAAATTTCAAGCATGTCATGAAGAAATTTATTTATTAATATCTCTCGACACTTCTTGATAAATGAAAATAACTGGCTAGACCAGAATATAAAATATTAAATACACCTTATTTATGGAATATTAGCCAAATAATCTTTAACATGTGATGGATCAAGTCTTCTGAATCCGTTGGCATCACAAATGCCCACTTCAATATTATCAGCAGTCATCTGACCTTCGAAACCTTCTTTCAAAGTCAAAATAGCAGTATGAACAGCATCATCTAACTCTAAGTCTTCACTGTATCTTTTTTCTAAAAATGTTTTTCCATTAATGAAATTTTTCCCCATTGCAGTTGCTCTCCAAGCAAAATAAGCTCCTGAGGGATCACATTGGAAAAGAGAAGGCTTATCATTATCCCATCCACAAATTAGTAGAGATACTCCAAAAGGTCTTACACCACTGAAATAAATGAAGAATAAATAAATGCAACTTTTCATTAACTAAATAATTTTACAAGAGACTTATTTTTGTTTACCCTGATTGAGTATACTCTTGCATGAGCATTGCTACTCTTTGAACTAACTGAGCAGTAGGAATACGTTCATTATAGACTAATAGATATTGCTGCGCCATTTTTCGTGCTTGCTTAACTAGAACTCGGTAATCTGGTCCCATTCCACTGTACACCATACCAATGTGCTTTGTAATCATTTCTACTTTATTAACACTATGTTCATCGTAAAGAATAGATTTGTGTTTGTTTTCTGTTGCTAAAACAACTCCATTACATGCTTTTATTCCAACGCTTGGAGCACCGGCAGCAACTGCAGCTAATGCATATTCAATCTGAACCAGTTTCCCCGATGGACTAAAATAAAGAAATTTATTATAACATGTTGTCAATTATAATCATAAATAATTTTCTATAAATTTATTTGAATAAAAAGCTCAGAAAAAGAGTGGTAACTTAAACTTCAAGTCAATAGTTAATAGAATGACCAACAAATTTAGGTATTCTAGTCAGTGATTTGAACTATTTAAACTTTTAAATTATAATAATATAAATTGTATTTATTTAAATATTCTTATATTCAATTTTTATTACATGTTTGAAAATACTTTCAAAGAAATAAATGATATTAGCTAATGGATGTAGAGTTGAGGTTAGTAGAAGCATGATGTAGTCTTATAATTTGCTTGATTTATTAAGTATTGAATTTCAATCATTCCTTATAACTCCGAAAAAATATTTCAATCTGATTTTTTAATTGAAAAATAGTAATAATTACCTAAAAGTTGTTAAAGAAAAACTGTATCTTTCAGAGGCCATGACAATTGCTTTTCATCAACAAAAGCTGAAGTTAGCTCCAAAAGAGCGGCTGTAGAACACAAAATACCAATCGAGGGAAAGAATGAGGTTGATAAGTTGGCTGCAGTGGCCGTTTCGTTTGTGACTAGCTTCACATTTGTATTCTTCAAGCTAACAAAGTGTTATTATTGTTGTTAAAACTTTTCTTGAATTATATTCCAACAGAATATATTTAAATATTACAAGTAAGTACTTAATTAATTCATTAGTATTATATTTTTCGTTCTAAAAAATTAAAAAAAAAAAAAATACTTGGTTGTTAATGAAACTTCAATAATGTTTCAAATACAAAAGATGGAAAAGGTTTTGATTTTGATTATTGATTGAATAAGTAATGGAAAAATATTTTGGTATTGAAGGATATAAGTCACAGAAAAATGGTTCGAGGAGGTCGAGGAGGAATGATAAGAGGTAGAGGAATGGGTCGTGGGATGGGATACTTGAGGAAACCTTTTTTACCTCGACATCCATTTGATTATACACTTTGTGAAGTTGCGTTTCCGCCTGTCAAGCCGGCAGCTGATGAATCTGACTTCACTATGGCATTATTGAAGAAAAATTCTGACATGTGCCCTACTCCAAAAGAGCAAACTGCTATCTCTGACTTAGTAGTGAAACTTCAAAGTGTTTTAGACAATTTAATCGTAGCTCCAGGAACTTTTGAAGCTTGTGTAAGTATTCTACTCTCATATGATGAAAAAGCATAATTTTTTTTTATTTTGACTCCAAAACTCATAAAGTTAATTATGAATGTTTATTCCTATAGCAACTCGAAGAAGTTCGTAAAGTAGGCAGTTTTAAAAAAGGAACAATGATAAAAGGTCACAACGTAGCGGATATTGTAGTGATTTTGAAAACTTTACCAACTAAAACTGCAGTAGAAGCTCTTGGAAATAAAGTTCACGCAGATTTGAAAGCTGTTAATTCAAAAGATGTTTTTAAATTAACACAGACTGAACGTGGATTTGAGATTTCTAATAATGAAGCAACTGTTCGCATTTTAATTACAACTCTTCATCAAAATCTACGTAAATTAGAACCAGATCAACATTTAGATGCTAAAATATGTCAAGGACATTTGACAGCAATTCGACATTCTCGTTGGTTCGAGGAAAATGCTCATCACTCTAGTATAAAAATATTGATTCGTTTACTTCGAGACTTGAGAAGCAGATTTGAGGGTTTCGAGCCCTTAACGCCCTGGATGTTAGATCTTTTAGCTCACAATGCTATAATGAATAACCCTGGAAGACAAGCACTGCCAATAAATCAAGCTTATAGACGAGTTCTTCAACTTTTATCTTCCGGACTTTTTTTACCTGGCTCAGCAGGTAATAAATTAACTATATAAATTCGTTATTAAATTGTTAACAATTCATCTACTTTTAACTACCCTAAATTTTTATAGGTATTTCTGATCCATGCGAGAGCGGAAACATACGAGTTCATACTGCTCTTACTCTAGAACAACAAGATTTAGTATGTTTAACTGCTCAAACACTTCTCAGAGTATTGGCTCATGGTGGATATAGACCTTTGTTAGAAGGAGCGAATAAATTAGCTACTGAAATGAGCGTTTGGGCAGGTGGAGTGGTCGCTAGCCCATTAGATAAAGCCTACGAGCCACCTACAGACCAAGAAGCACAAGAAGACATGGACGAGAATAATGAAGAAATGATAACGGATACTACTTAAGTATTTTGATAATTATTTTTTATTTAATCGATTTTTCAACGTTCTTTACTCTAAGTCATAATTTTTAGTAATAAAGAACATCTCATTTTGAATATTCAACATTAATAATCATGTTTAATTGATATATTATTGATATAAATAGATAAATAAAATTTTGTAAAACTACAATATTTATAAACTTAATTCATTGAAAATCATTTATGAGTAAAAAATTAACCTGATTAATTATTTTACGTTTGAGACAACACAAAGATATATTTTAATTTTTTTTATTTATAGTTTTAATCTATTATTACATTTACTATGCACATGGGTTTTGAGAATAAGTACTAAGTTCAGCACAGTTCACCCGAATTTTACCAGAGGGAACTTGAATGCGGAATAATTTTCCTTCAGGCATACAAACACAGATTTTGAATTGGAGATTTTGATTACTTTTTCCACTAACTCCTGGAAATATTCCAGGAACGATGGGAATTTTTTTCATATCCAGAAAAATTCCTTTGCCTTGGAGAATAATAGATTGATTGCTTTTCACTCTAATATCATTATTAGCCACCCAAACAATTTCTTTACTATCCATTTTCAAGCTTTCTGCTCCACGGAGATCGACTTGTTTTCTAGATTCTATGTTTAAAGATCTATTCATTGGAGATACAATTCGATGTGTAATGGCTTGTTGAATATTTATATGACCAACGCCACTGGGAAGCCCGAAATTTGGGAAGTTTGTAGAAAAAATTATATCACCAGATTTTGGGTCTTTAACATCAAAAGACTCAACGGAGGAAACGCTTGTTCCATTTGGAAAAAGTAGAAAATTAGAATGTAGATGATCATGACGACGATTTTTAACAGTTAAATGAATTCCTGAGTCATCACCAGTCCATTCAGCAGGCTCATCCCCATAGCCTTGACAAATTCCGTTTTCTACACATATCTAGATATTTAAAAAAAATTATAAACATAATTAATTGATATATTCATAACAACTGTTTCAGATATTCTATTAATAAATTATGTTTCACAGAAAAGTGTTAAATAAAATATAAATTGGCAGAATTACATGATCTAAATCCGTAGATCCATAAAATTTAATGAGACTGTCGTCAGGAATTATTTCCAGAGATTCCATTCCTCGTGATAAACGCAGAACGCTGATAATAGTGATGCTAAGGAGAAGATTTGAGAGACCAAACGCTGCTAGAATGATTGTCAATGCCCAAAAACAATATCTTTTCTTATCATAATCAAAGGAGATGGTAGATTGATCATTGGTTGATCGAGATGGAGATCTTGATGGTTTTAATACAGAGATGATTTCAATGCTGGAAAAATGTATTAATAGTTTTATTGAATGAATAATTTAGGACAATATTTTAAGCATATAATCAATACTTTAGATTTGAATATTCTGCCAATTTCTTTAGAAAGCTCAAGAAAAGGATTATTTGATTTTCGACAAATGATTTAACTCCAGAATTATTGTAAGAACTCCTTAATTTACCTAGAATTAACATTCTTTTTTTCAATACTTTTTTTCAACAATGGGCCTTCACTGTTGGATAAATTATCTTCAGTTTTAGACATTGACGGTGACCCACTATCACAAGGCTCTAAATATGTTGCCATTATTGCAATTTTACTTCAGACTTATTGTTTTCAATGAATATTTTTATCAGAAATCTATCTAACTATCAGAAATGTAAATATAAAATTAATTGATAAAAAACTATTCTAGGTGTCCAATGAACTGCAAGCTCGTGTATGTACTGAAAAAGCTTAGAAAGCTTTTCAAATTACGCTTGCGCAATAGAAATTATCACAATAATTTTACTGATGAATAAGACAAAAATTAAAACAAAAAACATTGTGTTGAAATATTAAATGACTTTTTTAGAATATAATTTCATTAAGTCTACTATTAACATATAAATCATTTAATTAATGTTTTTTCATAAAACTCATTTATCACTGTACGAAGCTCATCTGAATCAAGAATTTCTAAGTTTACGATTACTCAAATCATAATCTATTTTTTTATAAATGTAAAAAGTCTATGATTATATTGATCATTTAATAAATTAAGATATTGAACCAAATACATTCATAAATGACTGTAACATGTCAAATATAGATTATCAAATAACATAATTTGGATTCAAAATTCCCGGGTAAATTGACAACAGCGCCATCTTTCGCATGATGTATCCGTCTTTTCATTTTATTCGTATGTGTAACCTCATTCATTAAAAAAATAATTGCATGCAAATTGTCAATGAAGTTTAGTTATCCTGTTTATAGATTTATAAAAGAAGTATTTGTTATTGAATGTTTTTTATCAAGTACAAAAAACCGGTATAATTGAGAGGGCGTTCCTTTCGTTAATTCGTCACAGTTTTATGTGTAGAAACCGCCTGTTATATACATATCTTGTGTGAAGTTAAATGCCGCGCATTAATACTGTTGTTATGTATAGTCTTAGATTGCAAATGGCACCGGTGCAAACGTAAAATTCACTCCTAACAATTTCTGTAAGTTTTAAAAGTGATAACATTACCGCAATTATTTAGAACATTAGAATTTTTTAACATAAGAATAACGAATACTATACAAGCTATTAGCAGAAGGATTATACTTGAGTTTTTGAATAAAAAAATGAAAACAAAGGCTAATGTTGTAGAGGTCTTCAAAATGCCGGAGTATATGTGAGTAGCGTTATTTGATTACCTTATTGTTTATGTTTATTATAAATTAAAAACTCCTACATTAATCTTTGAAATTTGTTATTCTAGAAAACTGAGAAATGAATGACAATTTTTTTAATCTAAAAGGCCATGTTATGACTGCGATATGTACTTTTATTGATCTGGTTGTTGATAATAAATATAATAATGTCGCCTAAAAGTGTGAAAGATCAAGAATTTACTAATAAAAAAACCTGTGTGTTTTGCAATATTTCGGATGATGACGAACTGAAATATGGAAAAATTTACGAATATGAAAACATTGTTACTCATTATTATTGTTTGGTAAGTTTTGTGATTTGATTTTTGCTATTATAATCTTTTATACTTCTTTCGTTTTAACTCTGAAATACTAAATACTCCTTTCATTATTCTATTAATTTAACATTTTTTTTTCAGTATAACCTCTGAAATTAAAAAAAAACATCAAATAAATAATACAATTCTATGTTACATTTTCTAGCTTTTATCATCAAATATGCAACAAAGAGGTCGTGATGAAGATGGAATATTGGGGTTTCTCCCAGAAGATATTCATAAAGAACTCAATCGTGGACGTCGATTAAGTTGTTCATTTTGCAAGAAAAAAGGAGCAACTTTGGGATGTGTAAATAGAAAGTGTAAAAAGGTATTCCATTATCCATGTGGAATTAAAGCTAACACTCTTCATCAATTTTTTGGTCAATTCAAATCATTTTGTGCTACTCATCGACCAAAACAAAACATTGATCTTCGAGTGCGAAGTCAAGCACCTGATCATTTAGTTTGTTACATTTGCTATGAACCAGTTAAACGGGATGATATTCACTCAACACTCTGGGCTCCTTGTTGTAAAAAGAATGCCTGGTTTCATAGAGATTGCGTCCAACAATTAGCTTTAAGCGCAGGATATTTTTTTAAATGTCCCTTATGTAATAACAAAAAAGAATTTTTAAAATCTATGCAAGAATGTGGAATTTTTGTTCCATCTCAAGACGCGTCCTGGGAATTGGTACCTAATGCATTCCAAGAGCTATTATATCGACACAATCGATGTGATGCTCCAAAATGTATCTGTCCTCAGGGAAGAACACATACAAATCCTAATGCAAAATGGGAAATAATTCTTTGTCAAACTTGTGGATCTCAAGGTATCCATGTGGGCTGTGGAAAACTCAAGTGGTTAAATCCGTCATGGGAGTGTGATGAATGTTCATCGATTCTCCAAAAAAGCAATCTTAATAGTAGTAATGATCAATTTAGAAGTCAAGATGGGGCTGACAATTCATCTCAGTTTAATTCTGACGATGATTCAGATTCAGATATTTCTGCTGGTCGGGAGTCACCTTATCAAAATATTGTTCAAACTTTAAATATACCGTTAATGAAGCTAAAACCCGGACCACGATCTGCCAAACTTAAGCAACTTCATCAAAAAGTAGAAACAGAAACAAGTGGCCATACAACTACTATGGAGGTGCTAAGTGACATTCTTGATGAACAACAAGCGAATCAGTTTCCAGATGAAATATTTGAGAGAAAAAAGACTGCGGTTAATCAAGAAACACCAAACCACCAAACACCAAATCAAGAGACATCGAATCAAGAGATACCGAAAAGTAGCACTGATGATTTATGTGTTATCACTCTTGAAGATGATGATGACAGCAATGATTTGAATCATCCTCCTCCGCCATCGGAAACTACAAAGAATAATTCAGTGCAATCAACCCCTGTGATGAACATCAAGATCACTGAAGTTACCTCTTTACCACCGGAAGTATTTGCTAATGTTCCCGATACTTCATTTCGTAGAGGAAATCAGCTTCAAAATAATTTAACCATTGTACCTCAACGTGATTATCAAGATAGAAGACGAGCTGATTCGCCTTCTATAGTTTCTAGGATTGTGAGTAGAGTTAACGACTACCTTGACATCCCAGAACTGTGTCCAAAAAAACCAAGAATGGATGAAAATTTCGTTTCAACCAATGGATTTGTGGCACATCCAACGAGAAACTTTTCACAGACTAGTCATTCGACGATGGACCATATGAATAATATTAACTTGTATCCGACTCATATTCCTATAAATGGGACTTTTAACACCAATTATAATGGTTTTAATACTCAGGTTTCGAGGTTTGCGCGTTCTAAGGACCCTAAATCATCCAATGTAAGTATTTTGATATCATTATTTTGAATTTATATTTGTTTGAAGGGTTTTCTAAATTGATCCATAAACATCGAAGAAAATTTTAAAAATATGAAGGGATTTTTCTTCGATTTTATTTAAATTGTCAAATCGATGGGTTTGTGGGCGCGATGATCTGGAGTCAATACTTTGTAGCTAATGCATTCTCTCCAGTGTATTTCTTGCGATTCTAACAGTCCGACGAGGATGCAGGCATCAATCCTACAACAGACAAACTCATCATTAATGTATCCACCGATGCAGACTCTGAACCAGACTCAGTCTCAACAGAATGCAGCAACACTGACACAGAATTATCAGAATCTAACCCTGGGCTGTCACTCGAAGAATGTGGAGGACGACGAAGTCGTAATGGTGGTAGATGCAAGGAATGGACGTCCAGGTGTAATTCAAAGGGTTACGAGTGGTAAGTTATTTACTAATGATAACCGATTTCTGATTTTTGTACTGAGCATATTCAAATTTTTATCTGTACAATTATTTTTTGTTTTCAGCCACAACAATGCCAGAAGTAATAGACTTAGACTAATGAAAGAAAGTGTACTTTTAAAGAATTTAAAATTTCGTGTTTGTGAGGGCGACAATCTTGAAGTATGTTTGAAACCAATAAGATTTAGATTATTTATTCTATTTGATAAATAATTATTCTAATCTTATTATCATTTTCAGATAACTGTATGTAATGACTTCAAATTCAAAATCATGCTTGATTCTGCTCAACAAATGGATTCTGTAAATACCCAACGTTCCACTCTTTGCGATGATCATGATTTGACAAGATCTTCGCCGGTCCGGAGATCGAGAGCGACGTATTATAATAAAATTGAAGATTTCCCGAACTACAGTTCATCTAATATAAATTTACATAGTGATAATATAGAATTGAAAAAGCCTTACCGAATAACTAACTTAAAAGATGTGAATAAAAATCATTTTTCGTATTCGTTGGATTCTTCTCATTCTTTACGATTACGTAGAAATGATAAAAATAAGTTGAGTGAATGTTATAAATATAACAATAACAGTAATAACAATAATGAAGACGTAGCCAAAGAGAATCTTGTACCTGAGAAGTTTGAAAAACAAAGCAATAATTTTGATTCTCCGAAATCGGGAAAATCCATTAGTAGACTTTTTGTTGCAAATGGAGACTTCCCAGGAACAAGTAGAGATAGTTTTCGGGAGTTATCTATGAATCAAAAGCAGTTTTTCAATTCTAATCATTCGAATGCCGTCAATCAGAACATGTCCCGTAGAAGTAATAAAAAAAGTATTTCTAAATCATTTAAAAATATTAAATGTCACGTTAGTATTGAATTAAATCGAATTCAATCATTGATTGATTCAAAGCCAAATTTATTTATGAAAAACAATAATAGCTTAGTTAAGACAACTAGTTTAAATAATTTACATATAGGTTTAGAGAATCAAAAAAATTTACATACAATTAATGGAAAAAAACGCATAAGAAGTTACAGTGAGTCGTCAATACATTTGTCTACAATGGAATTGGATCAAATTTTTTATGAAAATCAAGTATTTAACAGTAAAAAGAAAAAAAAAAGAAAAAATCAATTTAAGAGAAAGTATGCAATTGAACGGTATGAATATTGTAGATAATCTCTTAATTTTTCTGTCCATATTTTTTTACAATTTTTGACATTAAAGATGACTGTAAATTTACAAATATTATTTATGTATGCTTAAGTTGAGTTATTTTTTAATTGCTTCATATATTGATTTTTAATCAAAAATATTAATTTTTAATCATGATTATTATTTTCTAATCGATGCTGTATTATATTATTGGTAAAGATGAAACAAATTAGTCATAAAAATATCATTTACTGTAAATTCAAAATTATTCAACAGGAATGCGAAGTAATAAATAATTGTTTAATTTCATTTTGGTTTTTTTGAGTTTTTTATTTATTAATATCAGTAATTTTAGATGATAGTGTGTTTACACATATTTCGATACGTTCAGATATTCGAGGTTATTTACATTCATTCGATCCATGTCATATGAAAACTGTATACTCAGAAAAGCAACGCGGAGTGACACAGCGCTGGTAAAAATCATGGCAGACACTTCTAGTATGCTATGATATCAAATTCAGAGAAGTTTACTTCAATATTAATAAACATAATTAATTTATAATAAATAATCACAAAAAATGTCTACCAAAAGACATGGATTATCAGTAAGTATTCTTTTCATTATTTATTGTACAAAAAATAATTCGATAATGAGTTAATTATAATGTTTGAATACAGAAAGAAGAAATTGCCAAACAGTTTATGTTACCAGAGAGAAAAAGTAAAATAGCAACACTTTTGAAACAAGATGGTCAAGCTTATTGTATTTGTCGAAGTTCTGACAGTTCACGATTCATGATGTAAATAATAAAAAAACACTTCTTATATACCTTGGCAAAATTATAATGTTTCTAACCTATAATATATTTTTCTAATATCATTTCTAGTGGCTGTGATGCTTGTGAAGAATGGTATCATGGAGATTGTATAAATATTACAGAAAAAGAAGCTAGATACATTAAACAATTTTTTTGTGTGGTAAGGATATTTATCATTATCTTAATTAAATCAATAATTCACAGTAAAGTAATTTGTATTACTTGTTCTCAGCGTTGTAGAGAAGAAGATTCATCATTAATAACTCGATACAAACCTCGGAAAACTGATCAAGAAGAACGAAAATATAAAAAGTATAAAGAAAAGGAGCGTGTTCATCGTTATGAAAATGATGAATCTTGGGATCCGATAAAAAAATCATCAAAACGGTGTGGTGAATGTAATGGATGCTTAAGAACTGAAAATTGTGGTAAATGTGACCCTTGCAGGCATTTGAAAAAATTCGGGCCATCTGCAAGATTAAAATTACGTTGCATTCAACGGACATGTCGAACAGTTGGAATAAATCCTTTAAAATCATCTAAAAACTTCAATAGATTTGATAAACCAAGCAAAAAGCGTAAAAGAGACTCTAGTAATGAACGAATTGATCATTTAGAGCCTCCTAGACAGTGTTATGGACCCGCTTGTATAAAACAATCAAGATTAGGCAGTAAATATTGTTCAGATGAATGTGGGTTAAAATTAGCAACAAATAGAATTTATCAAGTTTTACCTCAGAGAATTCAAGAGTGGTCACTGACAACTTGTGTTGCTGAACAAAATAACAGAAGAGCTCTAGAGAGTGTTAGAAAACAACAAAACGATGTCAGAAGAATATTACAAGAATTAGATAAAAGACATTTAGAATTAGATAGGATTATTGAGAGAGCAAAAAATGCTTCGATTGATCCCAACTCAGAGGTTGATGAAAATGATGATACAGAAATGAGTATGTATTGTATTACATGTGGACACGAAATACATTCTAGAACTGCTATTAAACATATGGAAAAATGTTTTAATAAGGTACAAAAATTTTTAACACAATTTATGAATTAACTTGTAATCAATCTTGATACTATTAAAAATTAAATTTTTTTCTTTTTAGTATGAATCTCAAGCATCTTTTGGTTCTATTTTCAAGACTCGTATTGAAGGTCAAGTCATGTTTTGTGATTTTTACAATCCAGTGAACCGCACGTACTGCAAACGTCTTCGTGTTTTATGCCCAGAACATTGCAAAGATCCTAAAATAAGTGATACTGAAGTGTGCGGTTGTCCTCTAGTTACCAATGTGTTTGATATGACTGGTGAATTTTGTCGTGCTCCTAAAAAGAGCTGTGTTAAACACTACGTCTGGGAAAAATTAAGAAGAGCAGAAATTGACATGGAAAGAGTTAGACAATGGTTGAAAATTGATGAATTGGTTGAGCAAGAGAGACAAATCAGATCTAGTATGGCCACTCGTGCTGGAGTTTTAGCTTTAATGTTACATTCGACTTATAATCATGAGCTAATGGAGCAAATGACTAAAGAACAGACTCGTGAACAACTTGAAGCAATGGAAAAAGAGTTACAGAGAAGATATAGCCAATTTCATCAGCGGAAACAGCAAAAAATTGATTAAGTTATTTATCAAAGAATTCAATCATTGTATTATGAAACAATAAATTAAATATTTTATTTAATAAAATAGAGTAAAAATGAACATTCAATAAATATATACTATTCAATAACTAATAGCAAAGTTGAATTATAAACTGAATAGAATTTTCATAATTTTTTATAAAAAATTTAATTTCCTAAGAAAAGGTCTACAATGCTTGATAAATGGTGAAAATCATAATGAGAAATATAAACGGTGATGGTAAATAGGTCGATGGAGATGAGTTACAAGGTGGACCATCTCCGAATGATTTACAGGCACAAGCTTCAATAGTATAACCATTCACCTAAAAACATTTATAGACATATATCATATCTTTTTTATAAATATTTTCAATTAAAAAATGAAAAATATTTACCGTGTGCGTATAACAACCAGTAGTTACAGGATTAGTTTGATCTTCTGTCATTTTTCCACAAAAATATGTCGTATTCAATACTAAAACAATTGATTTTCAAAAACATTATTAGTTTTAATTTACCAAATAAATCAAAGAATTATGTTTAAGTGAAAACAGTATTTAACATTCAAATTAATTAATTACCTGTATTATCATAGATATAACTATATTTTATACAAGTTCCAGATACTAAAGGGCAAATTATTGAAATATTATATTCATCTCTTTTCTCCCACATCGAAGTTGTATTTGGAACTTGCGAATTAGCTGAAGAAATCAAACATACATAAGAAAAGATATATTGATTTAATCTTTATTAGAAATATTCAGAAATTTACTTGTAACAACAAAAGGTTGTATGCATGGAATTTTTTCTGATTCAGGACAAGCAAAATTCACTGATGAACTATTACTGTAGCTAGGACCCAGCCAAGTAAAATTAAAACAATACGCTCTTGAATCAGGTTTATTAATTTGTCCTATTAATTTTAAAAGATACAAAATTAATATTTTAAATATGAATACAAATTATATAAAACAATATATAGTAATTATCAAAATATTTGTTTTTAAATACCTCCAATAAGTGTGAAACAGCAGATACTCCCAAAAATAAATATACACCGATTCATGTTTGAACAATCAACTTGACCAATAACTCGCAACTCTTATCTTCTTTTATATGGATATTCTTCATTGTCATTATTTGAATTATCTTATCAATGACTATCAATTTTTAATCTTGATCATGATGAAGGATGAAAAAAAACTTACAACTTCATAACTAATTTGGTATCAATTGAATATATTTATTAGTCTTCTTTAAATTCATTAGTAAGAAGAGTATTAAAATAAAAAAAATAATTTAGATCATTACAAAACATTCATGAAATTCTCTTTCACAATTACAATTTAATTGTTTCATAACTTGAATCGCTTTAATTAAAATCAATACAATTATTTATTATATTTTTTCATTTTTAAGAATTTAATTCTTAAACTAACTTGATAGTAAAATTTATTTAAGTAGGTAGTTTTGTCAAAATATCAATTTCTTGATAATTATAAAAAGTATTATTGTCTAAAATACTAACTTGAACTTAATAAAACTGTGATTAAAAAATAATACGTAAGCTAGATATACTTTTTAAGCTTTAGAAAATTTTTTGATCGATATGGAACTTTTAATTTAAAACTCGTCATGTCTAGACAAAGCCTCACCAAAATCTGTCGCTTGTGAGCCGACAAATACATCATATTTATCAAGAATTTCTTCTTTTGTTAACTTTTTATCTAAATCCTTATCAGCCTCGTAAATCAAATGTTTAGCTTCGGCTTCAGCATGATCAAAATCTTCAGGTATAATCCAGTTTTTGATTTCTTCATTATCCATAAAACCATTACCATCTTTATCTCTGTAGTTGGAAAATTGTTCTCGTTCATTTTTTACCCATTCAGGTTCTTCTCCTTCCTCTTCTTCAGGTCGATACATATCATCTGTCATAAACAAAAAATTCTTCATTAATCCAATATCAATAAACAATAAAAATGACTTAATTTTTTTTATTAAGTTTGATTGATAGTAAGGACTCGATGAATTAATTTTAGAAAAAAAATTGACTCAATATTTTTTAATTGATACCAATTAATTTACTCACTGCAATTATAACTAAATTAATTGCCGCAGTATAATAAAATCAATTACCAATGTATTCTGAAAGGGACACTTTTCCATCTCCATCTTTATCAATATCTTCCAACGTTTCCAAGACAACTACATCTTTCATATGTTCAGTATCTTCAGGATGAAGGAACCCAGTGAACTCTTCTTTTGACAAAGCATCATCACCATCTTGATCAGCCACTGACCATCTTCTACGATCTCTTTTTAACATCACAGAATAAGAATAATTCTCATCGTGAACTTGCGGATCGTAGTCTTTTTCATCCATGAAGCCATAAACCATTTTTTTGTATGATTCCCATGTTAGTTTATTACTTGATTCATCGGGATTATATGATTTCCATTGACGTTCAACATCATCTCTGATATATCTTTGTTGAGTGTACTTTATCCAATCTTTTAATTCTTCTTGAGTGACAAAACCATCGTTATCTTTATCTATTTTGTCTACTATGAGTCCTAACCTTCTAGAGCTCTCTTCTGGCGTAAGATGTTTAAAAGTCTTGGCTTCTTCTCCTAAAAATGCCTCATGATCATATTCAGGGTTATGGTGAGATTTAACAAAGTGCTCTTCATCACTTAATTCCTAAAAAAAAAACCACATTGATATCTTATAAAATAAAGTAAGGTTAATTAATAATCAATTGTAGACGATAATTTCAATTACCCTATTTATAACTCGATCACTTCCTTCGTTTTCCGGCTTTGGAACAGCCTGGACCACACAAATAATCACAAATAGACACGTCAGAGAAGTTTGGACCATTGTTATATTTCAAATTTTCCAAAATAAAGTTTTATTATTGTCTGTTTATTGATAAATATTGTACTCTTTCCTTTAATAACAAGTGCGTAATAGTATTAAATATTAAACACTGAATATTTAAAAAATTAATCACCGGGCAATCAGAGTAAATAAAAATTCTTCTACTCCAAATCTCAAAAGATTCCACATCATCGGAAGCTTTGCTGGGGAGTTGAGTCTGTTTAGCTCTCGGTCATTCGCTTCCCCTACCTTTTTTCTTCTCCTTCATCCTCATATAGAAACGTATATACACTCGTACTTCGCTCTTATGTTTATATTATCTTTTTTACATGTGGTGCCTAGGCGATGGTGAAGTAAAGAAAAGCCTTATTACATTCACCAGACGTTCTACGGCTTCGTAGGAGATCGTAAGAGAGGGAGGTTTATTTTTTCAATTTTAGATACATCTATTATATATATTGGCTTAAAGGAAATTTTTGTATGTAGTTTTATTCACTTTAAATTGATAATAGTCAATCATTTAACAATTTATCCAACTATAAAAAATGTGATTAGGTTTGATTGAATTTTTTTTTGTTCCAAAATGTAAGAAAAAGAGAGTTTTATAAAAGGATTTTACTTTATCTACACATTGTGTTACTTACTTTATCAACAAATAAAAAATGTTCATGTTTTCTGTCTTATCAACCAGCCATTTTATTCAAATCGAAACATAATGGGAATTTGTTGCAAGTGGTCATGTTGTTCTCGCTATTTTCGACATGTTCTCGTGCACACATGTTGAAAATGGTCACAATGTGGCGCCACTTCTGATAAATTAGAAATAGAATCAGTTTTGTGTTTAACATCCGTAAAAACAAGATCTATTGACTTTTTATGAATAATCAGTGGTGATTAAGTGCACACTCTTTGTTGTTAATTACAGTTTAACTTATAGTACATTGTTATAATTTTATAAAAATAATTGCAAAATGCCAAAGGATTTAAAAAGACGAAAACCGTCACACTCAAGTAAGGTTAAGCGTAAAACAAGGAGAACAATAGTTACATCAAGTCATTCACCGAGGTAAATAATTTTTTATAATGTTTATAAAATCATTAAAGATAAAATTATTAATATTAATGAATGTTTTAGTCCACCCTTGTCGCAAAATGAAGGAGAATCTATCGAATCTAATGAAACAGCTGTTTTAACATGCAGTGAACTAAACATTCCATTGTCATTGCAAAAAGCTGAACCCTTGACAGATATAGAACCAGTAATAGTAAATATTGATATATATAATGAATATTTACTTTATAACTAAACTAAATTTATCTTAGAATTTATTACTAGTATAATAATCCAGATTAAAACAGTATTAAAAAATGGCGTGAATTGTTTTAATCTATTCTATTTACTTTTACGTCAATTGTAATACAGGGTTTATCATTGCAGGATTGTAACAATTTACATTCCTCAGAGAATGGCCATTCTATACCAGATATCTATAACTGCAACATATTTAACAAAGAAGTGATGGACGGACATGTTGCTAAATTATTTGATCATCTTCGTTGCTCTGATGAAGTAATATCTCTATTACCAAATAAATCTTGGGGTATGCACTGCACAGATGTTCCAATTAAGCGGATAGTTTTAGGAGAACTGATTTTATATAACTTACATGGGAGAGGCTTTGAACCTTTTTATGTAAAACAGGTAATATTACTGAAGTATTTTTTACACTATATACAATTTTTTCATTTCTTAACTATTTATAAGTTCTTAGAAATCAGATCATGAAATATATTTTCAAATTATTATAAATAAACAATTTAAGTTCGCTATATTTAATTCCATATTTGATGGTCATGATGGTTTTATTATTCTTCGTAATTGTTTAAAGTATCAGGATCAATGCACGTAAAACATTTAAATGAATCAATTGTCTTTTGACATTCATGTGGACAGCCTCCATTATTAAATGCGCATTCATCTTTCACGATGTAATAATCAACAGCAAATTCTGAGACCAACGCGCTGTAAATTATGAAAGTTTTTCAATTTAATTAATACTATAATGGATAATGTTATAGTTTAAATAACTAGTACTTTATGGTACATACTTTTCATTAGTGTTAAATTCAATACCCATTTTATTGTGTTTAGAAAGTCTTATTGAAGGTAATTCACTTCCACAGTAAGGACCTTCAATTTCAATTGTATTATTATCAATTTCTTCTATTATTTTTATATGATTATTTGTTGAACAATTATAAAAATTGTTGTGTTCTCCATCCAAATCAAAGGACGTAAAGTTTAAAATAATACGATAATTGTGAGGTGCTAATATTTTCCATGAACACTTGTAATTTTGGGTACCATGAGTATTTATGCACATTTGGTCATCAATAGTTCCATATTCTTTATAATTCACTGTTTACAAAAAAAGTCAATTATTTTTTCTTTATTAAAAATTAAATTGTTTTGTATTTTAAATCAAAGTAAGCTAAATTCGACTAAAAAGTTTTCAGATGTCAATATTTACTTATACAACTTTTTCCATCACTATCTAATTTGAATCCTTCATCACATGTACATGTGTATCCTTGGAAGGTATTAATACAATAATGTTCACAGTTATGAACAGAGTGATGACATCGATCAAGAACTGGAGACAATTTTTAAAAAACGTTTATTAACATGAAGTACCTTTTTTTTTATAAGTGTTTTTGTAAAATATAAAATTAATTTATTGAGATTTCTATTTAAAATTTGTATTACATACCGTTACTAATGTAAGCAGCAAATTGATGTCTATTGTTAACTCCATGGTTTACAAGTTTTATGTAGAGTTCACGTCCATTTGAATAAACATTCAAAGGAAAATCTTTACAAATACGTTGAATAAGTGGTGCTTTAGATGATAAACCATTTCTTACTTCAATATAATTTTCTTCACAGTTTTTGTGACTATCATTAGAAGCTATAACATACTGAAATTGTAATAAAATTTGATGATTATCTTCTGGTACGATTATTCGCCAAACATATCCTGGATCTTCATCAGATATGTAATGTTGAGATGATAATTCGGTAAAACTCTCTAGAATGATGTCACTGCTGTAGTAGACATTTGGATAATCTAAAAAAGAATTAGAATTTATTAAAAATTTGTATTTATTAATAATTTTTTCTTCTCACTTTTCTGAATATTTGATAGAATCTCTTCATTTCTTTCTTCTGAAAATTCTCCTGTGACATTTTGATTTTTATCTAATATTTTTTTCGAAGTCTCCATTGGTTCACTTAGTTCTGCTAAGATTACAGTTGTAACAATCGAAATTTTAATTAAAATCTTTAACAAAAGACTAGAATTCATTTTTTTTTAAGTATTGTATATAATCGACTCCGTTGAAATAATGATGTACACTGAAGATATTTATCGGCGTGGAAAATGTTTTAACACAATGAGAATAGTTATGATAAAAATTTTTATCAGCCAAACGAGTGACACTAATGAAAATATTTAAACAACTGGAAAATACCTATTTTGGTTCATAAAATAAAAATTAACAATGCAATTGCAAATACCATATAAACATACTCTTATTCTATAGACCAGTCATATTGAAAGCTGAATAAATTTTTAATCTTTATATTAAACTTGATAAACGTCAACCTAAAATATTTTATTAGAATATAAAATTGAAAATGTTTGGCAACCTATTTAATTAAAATGAGTTCAAGGCTATTGTATTTTACATTGTTTAATAACTATTTATTGTTTCAGATTATATTTGATGAAAAGCTTAATTTTGAAATTTTCTTATTAAACACACGAGCTGTATTAAAAGAAAAAATACCACCAATTCGATCAGTGTCAGATTTCGAATCAGTTTTAGACTATGTTAATAGTTTAAAGTTATGTTCAGGAGGACCAGATTTTAATAAATATAATAAAGTTACTCCAGAGTGTGCATATAAAGATCAGTTAAATAAATGGAGGCATAATTTGTGTACCCTAGAAGTTACAGATGGTGATGTATGTGAATCATGTGCCTCATTAGACGATGTATTAAAACGTCATGCACAAAGAATTCATTCTCCTCTGAAATCTCGTAATTGTGTAACACTCACAAGACGAAGGAAACTGGGTACGAAATACATACATAAGACATAAAAAAATTTGTAAATCTTACATTGAATATAATGACACCACTCCGTGTCTATTTTTTTAATTCTTGTTGATAATTTTGTCCTGCGATCAAACGTATCATTTCAATGTTTCTATAGTTTATATAATAATAGCGTTAGTCTCATTTAAAAATTTTCATTTCTTAAATAAATTTACAAAATAAAAAACACGAAAATAAGGAACAATAGATTTTATACTCACTTAAAAATATCAAATATTATTTTTTTAATTGACTAAAAATAATGCTATTAATTTTTGTTGATTTTTTGTAATTTGATTCCTTGGAATAATAAAATAAGTGTCGATATAATTTATATAATCAAATGTTTTATATAATACATGTAAATAAATAATTAATAAAAAGAATATGTTAAAAATAACTGTATTTTTTCAACAAAAATAATTAGAACAAAATATCTTATATCATCATATTATAATTTATTTCATATAAACATTTCATACATTTTTGCAATTGTATCTGTAGAGCTTAATTAATTTAGTGATATCAGTATTGTTGGAAATTTCCTATTAAATCAAATATGTCTGATGTATAAGGATCTAATTATTAAATTTTTTAAAAATTTCTTTTAACAATTTGGCATGATATGGTACAATTAATTTAACTTTATATATTATTATATTTACGAGAGTATCAAAGAAATGCACTTTATGTAGGATACTAGGAAATAGTGAATTTTCTTTCAGAATAAGTTTATATTAAATGATATGTTACTATCCTCACATTAGATATGACGTGTGTCAACTAAGCTTTACCATACAAAGTGTCATTATTTCGATTTTTAAATTTTTCACAATTTTTTTAATGCTTTAATGGAAGTTTCATCCTGCATATAAGAGATAAATTAAAACTGAGTCAATTACAAAATATTAATTATCTAATTCTTTTCATCAACTGTAGAATAGTTATATTCGGTGAAATCTTTACTGAACCAAGATGATAAAACATAACAGTACCATATGCACAGTATAGTAGACGGATATTTTAATTTTCAATAGTGAATTAGATTGTTAAATAATTGTCGACTATTCTTAATCACTTTTAATGGAATATTATATAAATATACAATAAATATACATTTATGCTCTTAGTCTGAAAAAACTTTTTTATCGCGCACAATATTCGAAGAAATGCACAAATATTTTTCAGGAAGAGCACGACTAATTCGCATTATACATGGACTAGACTCAATTTCTTATTACTAGCATTTCTTTATGCAACATTACAAGTAAATATAGTAGATTTAAAAGATACAACAGAAGGACTTAAATAGAACTTTATTGCACTCAGTTGCAAAGTCAATATTATATCTTATTGATTGACTTTCATATCATAAATGTAATGGACGAAGAATTTTTATTTTATGTTTTGTTTTAATTACCTATTCTATTCTATTATTATTATCCCAATTAATAAGAATTCCTTTGGCTTTGCAAGTGAGAACTATCATTCCCAGACATGGAAGGCTCACCTAGTTGCGTTGAACACTTAAACACAATTGCATAAATAGAATATAAATTAATTAAGTACAAAAATTACAAACTTATTAACAAAATATTGGCAAGACTGAATTTCCAATAAACGTAAATTAATTAATTTCCACTCATTCATTTGGACAAAAAAATGATTACACAATATAAAACAAATTTATAGTCTTCATTATTTCAAATTTTAAAGATATGAATATTTCTTGTCCAATAAAATAATATTTCCTACTACTTTCACACTAATAAATATTACAATTATGTACGTCTCTGACGATTATTGTGTTTTAATTATCTAACACATATCACAGAATACGTATTTTTCTGTAGAAAATTATACAAGCATAGTATATTATACACAAAATTATTCCGCAATGCGACAATTAAATGTCACTGAAAATTGGCTCTAATCAACTCTTGTACATTTTCTTTTTTCCAAAGAATAAATCAAATGTGACATATTTATCTAAAAGGTATTCCACATTTGTTTTTTGACATTTAAATAATTGATCCTAAATAATATTATCAATTTTACATTATTCTTTGTCACTTCCTGCTAGATTTTTACAGGAGTTCTCTATGTATATGCCCAAGCATAGAAAGGAATTTATTATAAAACTATATCAGCTTAACAATTCATATTTGTTCATATTGTACAAACCAAACTATCATTGTCCCATAGTATTAATTTAATATTAAATGTCTTATAATTAATCACATGTAATGCACGTCAGAGAGTCAAATAGATTTTTTTCGTTGTATTCATCCTTGGAATAATACGAAGATCCTACTATGGAGTTATTGGTTGAGCAGAGTATTGGTCACCTCAGAGATGGACAACAAAGGACTCCCGGCGTCCGGTTTGGTATCTGTGATGCAGCTGGCATTATTGTGGCAACTGATGATGCCGTGTGATGATGCGAGGGATGATATAAGGTGCTGTTGTTGTTGTGTTCCTGGCCCATGTCCATGCCCGTGCCGGTTACCGATACTGTCTCCGTTCCCACTGGCGATGGAGATGTGCTGCAACCAAAAGTACAGTTTCTCGTAAACCTCCTAGTATTTTTGGCAATTAACCTGGGGAAAATTTTTTATAATATCTAATTTTAATCTTAAACTTTAGTCATCATGCATTAATTAATTTTTTATTTGTTTTCAATAATTTTATTAAAAATCTTTTTCCCAGTAAGATTGAAATTTTTATTTCATATACTTGACTAAGTTAAGCTTGAATATAATCTAGATAAATTTAAATTTATTAAAAAAATTTTCATGCTAGATCTGATGAGATCATGAAATTTTTCCCCAGGAGTTGTAACAATGCTGTGCGACAAACCATATTTAAATCAATTCTATTATATTTTTTAATCTTTTGTATTAATTAAAGAAGTAAATAATTTTGTATTGTTTTCAAAAATTGGTTTATAATTTTTTTTATCATGCTAATTATTAAGAATGTATATTTTTATTGGATATTCATGACCACTTTATCATGCATTTATTATAATCGGATTTTAATTTTTTCAATTTTTTTTTGAACTTTAAACATAATCAATACTTTACTTATTAATGTCGATCAACTTTAATTGACAATACTACTATTAATTAATACTTATAATATATTTATTTAGTGTGATTAATACACAAATATCATTAATAAAGTGAGGAAAAACCTATTGACAACTGTTATAGAAAGTAGTTTGAGTGAAACAACGTAAGAGAAAAAAATTATCAGCAACATTACATGTGGTAAAATCGATATTTGTCCACAACGAGATATATTGCTAACCCCATTGTTTTGTCATTGGTATATCACGGCTGGCAGGATACAATCGACCAAGGCAATAAAGAGTACATAACTATGCCACGCGGTATCTTTCATCGAAAAATCGAAGTATGTTCATTATACGTCAGAGCGTACAGTCTTACATGATTTTAAAAAAGATATTTTTTTGGTTTTATCCAAGATATAAATATATAGCGTGATGATAGAAAGAATAATTCAATTGACTAATCTAAATGTTAATGATCACGCAAACAAAAAAAAATATCAACTCGTGAGGTTGCGGTGACACTCACTGGGGCGTGTGCCTTGGTGGTGCGGGGTGGTGATGGTGGTAGGGATAGTACTGGTAGTGATGGTGATGTTGCACTCCTTGCCATACCTCGGCGCCGGTCTCTCCATGAGCGTGACTCTGGTGAGAATGCGAATAACCAGCAGAAGCTCCATAGTGGGCTGTTGTGACTGGATATTGTTGCTGTTGTTGCTGCTGATGTTGATGATTCTTTCCTCGCGGTGAACTGGGTGCTGTAGATTGGCCTGTTGGTGAGGTTTGTTTCCACTTGCAATCACCATTAATTGAGTTCATTTCAGCAAGTGATTTAAGGGGATCATTATTAACATTTGTAGAATTAGTAGTGTTGTTACTGTGCGACGAATGCGTAGAATGAGGTGTGGGTGGACTGTAACTTCCATTATTTCTGGGTGGAGTTCGAGAAGGCGGTGGTCCCCACATGAGAACCGTTTGTCTAGGTGCTTCATTATTGTATACTTCTGGTTTGACGTCTTCCATCTTGGGAGTACGAACTCCATTTGCAGCTGTTACTGGTGAACTACCAGCAGAGTTACTAGAGGACGCACCTTCAAGGGAGTGCCTACTGCCGGTTCGAACAACATTGATGTCTGTGTTTTGATGTAAGGGCGTCCCAGTGACAGGGCTTGATGCGTAGGGTGAGCCGCTGACACTGTTTGAATGTCTGGTATCTACATAACTGTATTTAGGTGATTCCGAGAGTTGCTGGCAATATAATCGATCTTCAGTTTTGCTACTAGTGAGCTGATGGGCATCATAAGTTGGCAAGGATACATCAATAAAACCATTATACGCAGTCGTTGTGTGGTACTCAGGATAGTAAGATCCTAATGGGCGGTATTGGAATAAATTTTCCGTCGCAGTCAAGTAACGATTGTCTAGAGCTGCCGCAGGATACAAAGTTTGATGATAGTTTCCCGTGTGTCCAATGTAAGTAGTCAGTGAAGGATCTGGAGCTGTAGCAACTGCTGCTGGGGCATATGGAGTTGAATACATTGTATTAAGGTTGTTATAAGCTGCAGCTACTGCTGCAGCAGTACTTGAATCGGCTGTTAAATAATCAACAGAAGCAACGGTAGGCGTTGTTGGTGGAGACACTGAAGACTGATTAGAGAGCTTAGTTCTTTTATTCCGACATGTCGATAAAAAGTCACGTAGTTGCGTTTTGTACCGTCGATTCACTCGTTGTGGTGTTGGTTGTGATGGTAGCGTCGATGTCATCGATGATCCTGTTAAACTCTCATTGTCTGAGAAGTAACTATTGGTCAAACCAGCATCCAAATAACTTACTTTAAAGTCCATTGTTCTTTTTCCTAATAAATCTCGACCTTCCTCTTCCCTGTAAGATTTTTATAAGTTTTTTTTTAATTTTTGTAATATTTTAAAATAAATGTCATCATTATTTTTCAATAACTCTGAATTAACTTACATAAGAGGTCGATGTGTACTAATAACAAAGTCGGGTTTTGAGTTCTTATAAACCAAGCGAGAACTCGTTTGAAGCCACTGCCAACCACCATCTTTCATTTGATACCTATAAGCTATCATTCCTGAAGCACCTGTCTTCAAAACTGTAAACAATCCATTGGGTTTAATACCAATTTATTTAATACGATTAAAGATAGCAAATAAGATTAAAAAAGATAAAGAAAAAACTTACGTTCTTGATGAGCACTAGCAACGTACGCTAGATCATCATAATGTACTAAGTCATAACCACCAAGATTAGCTAGTTCAGCATCAGTGTAACCAAGTAGCATTTTTCCTCTTTGATCCATTGACACCAGGGCAAAGTCTAATTTATGTTTGCTTTTAAACATTACTTCTTTTTGAGGTACTTCTAGTAATGATGGTGGTCCAAATGGCGTACAAAGAGCAAATAAAGCTAGTGGAGGTTCTTCAGTTTTTCTATTTTGACCATGCAGAACTTTAACTCTTCCCCTTATGTCTAATCTCTGTAAAAAAAAAACATGTTATTAATGTAAATGATGTAAAAACAATTTTATTTTCATAGGACACTTTAAATTTAATGACCCAGAATAACGCGGGCGGCAAGATACAGAACATTTCATACAAAGCAGCCGTAAACCTTTTATGATTACAGTTTCATTTTCATAAACGTCAAAGTTGTTTCGTTTTTGCTCTATTCTCTACTCAATGGCGAAGGTGTGTCGGTAAGCGGTTGCTGGTATACGCTATGTAAGGAAGAACAGTTTTGAGCTCTGATGAAAATAATATTCTTTTTTGCGCTTTACTATACAAGTGTTTCGTATTTAGGGAATATATAAAGAACTAATAATTAACCTTGTTTATAAGTAAATTAAATACATTATTAAGGAATCTTTAAAATAATTGTTTATTGGCATCTAAATTATTAATTCAAGTTAACTAATAATTAAAATCTCACCAAATGTATATTATGATAACGTATGTTTACTTATTACATCAACGATTCCAAAAATATTTTAAAAATTTATTTTTTGATTCATTAAATGCTGACTATGATCTATAAGGTCATCACTAACTGTATCTGGTTTAATCTCAACAAAAAGCAATTTCAGAAAAATAGTTTCGAATAATGTCTATTGCGATAATTAAAAAGAAATAGATTAAATTATTATGACATCCCTTAATTGAGTCATATGACTGGCATAAACGGAAAGCAGAAACGATTAAAATGGTTTCTCTTAACGTAGCAGATCCCCTTGAGCTAATTTCTGAATTTCCCACTAGACTACTTAAATTTGCCCTTGTTTCATTTATCATCCTATTTGGTGATTACACCATTAATCAAGCACATGGCGAAATCTATATGTTAAATTGAATTTTTAAATATTTGTTGATCTCCCTCAATATAAAAAGTCATCATTGTTTTAAATGCCATTCAGGAAGCATTGATTTCTTTTATGTGGGTATTACAAAAAAGTTTTATGTACATCTTAAGTATAAAGTATGCTACAAATAAATGTCCAAGTTCGGCAGGTAGAAAATATATATGTATACATAATCATGTAACTCGAAGAAAAGTGTTTCGTAAATACATTTTTAACTAGGAATATGCACGAAACACTTTGGGTTATGTTGATGCGTTCTCTATAATCGCGTGACTATTTAATTCTCTGTTCTACATCCGCGTCAGTAGGGATGAATGAATAGGAATGCATTCTTTAAAATATTTTCAGTTGTTTGTACATTTGCAACTGTTACTATATTTAGTAAATTTTCTGATTCATTAGATTTAATTTAATTACTATCGAAATTTCTAACTTAATACAATGAATTTTAGAGATTGTGAATACCTAATGTATTCCTTCATTTTTCATATAGCATTAAAATGGATATTTTTTAATAACATAAATTTTTGTTAACCAATACAATATTAATTTGGTTTTATGTTTTGTTAATTATTTTAAGAACGATAATATTCTATCAAATTGTATGAGGAACCGTACAAGACTTACAATCTTGTTGGATTAGTTATATTATAAAGCCTGTTTTATTTTTACAATTTGTTTTAAACTTGTTTTCGAATCAATCAATCTCAATCATTCCTGAGCATAAATAATAAATTTAAAAAAAAAAGAAGCTAATCCGATACTCATGATTCCATTACAGTTGGTAATTAGTTTATCAGTAGCTTTTTATATAAAAATACAATTTGTATGTTATAATGAACAAGTGTAAATTTTCATTTAAGTAATCGTCATCAACATCTTTTTTTCACTTTTTCTTTAGAAAAAAACATATCCAGCAGTAATTTTATATATTAAATTTAAACAATTTACTGTTGATTAAACTCTCAAAAACTAAAAATTTTAATGTGATTCTAGGTCAATGATGATCATCAAACTCGTTGAAAGAACCTGCTTCTAAAATGGGTTAATGAAGTCCACAAAAAATGCACACTTACCAGGAATCCAGAAGTATTGTCTAGAAGGCAACGAAAGCGAACAGTAAAGCTTCGTTCTAAAAGATGACAATGCTGAAGCGAGAGAACATCATGAAGAGGAAGGTTTGCATTTTCCGTTGGTAAAAATGAGTTCCACATCAGTTGTCGTTGTAATTCTTCACGATCTTCACTGTGTACTAACTCATAGACACTTTGATGGACGATATCAGACTAGAACAAAAAAAATTATTCATTAATTTTTGAATAAATTTTACACGGAGAGAATTTTTTCACTAAATGTAAGCGCAAAAATGATAAGTGCACGTTTCGAATTTTACAGAAATAGAAGAGAAATATTTTTACTTCTAAATTTCGAAACGTGCACTTGTCATTGTTGCACTTACATTTAGTGAAAAATTCTCTCCGTGTTATTAAACTTTAAATCAAAACTAGTGCTAGAAAAGAGTTATTCTAGATTTGATCGCTCTCATGCAGCAGAGTGGCGCAGTGGAAGCGTGCTGGGCCCATAACCCAGAGGTCCGTGGATCGAAACCACGCTCTGCTAATTTTTTTTGCATTTTATAATAAAATCGGGGACCTATTAGAGACCTACTTAAATAATAGATGAAATAGAGATATTTATCAAACCATTTGACAGGCTATGCATGAACAGTTTCCTCTCGTAAAGCAATGAAGACTAGAGTTGATAATAATATAGAAATGATTAACGGAAGTTAAGTTATACCTATAATCAGAATGTTAGGTATTTCAAGTGTAGTATGCAAGTACGTAGCTGCATATATTGCTATTTCAGTTCCATTGAGTCTCTCTTGATATGTCTTATTTCTATAACTATAAATTGAACAAGCTACAGGTCAAACAGAATGTTGAAGATGCCTATTTACGATAGTATAAGTATAATAATAAACGCCTATAGAGTATTGTACGATGAATAGTAAATTCTATACTGTGGAAAATAAAATAAGTGAAATAAACATGTAGAGTATGAGGAGAGTTGAACATGAGAGTCGTGATCTTCGTGCTCCTGATATGGCTCGAAAGGACTTCAGAAGCTCTTTATCAAGATTTATTATTATTCATGGTCAACTGTGACAACCTGGTGTATGGAAGTCTGGTATATAATCGGACGAGTGGAAAAATGATTGTAGAGGAAGTGGGAAATGTCACCTAATAAATTATAACTAGAATTTTTTGCACTTTTTACTTGGTGTTTAGTAAGATTATTAAGAGTGCTGGATAATTAAAACAATTGTGATGGAGGAATAAAAAGTAGATAAATTATTTGCATGTAGTAAATACAATGTAAAAAGAGCTGGTAAATTACGTTAATAAGAAAATAATTATAAAAAATTGTATAAAAATTCAAACAGTTATTTTGTGACTTCACTGAGTAAAATATTCAGTGCAATATCGAGTAATGTCGATTTTATGACAACTCTGGACCTTATTAAATTTTCCAGGGAAGATTCATGCTCCAATAAATAATTGGAGGTATTGTGAACATGAGGGAGCTGTGTCGTGGATAACCGGTAGGCAGAGTCGGGTGAGTCTGATTCAGGTTCCCAAGTTCTCTATCTTTATATTCCAATGCTTTCTTCTCTCTTTTTTGTTCCAAACAAGAATCCCAATGAAATCAAGAGTTTTGTTGCCCACGGTCAGCCGCTTCGAGAATATGAGTTCCTGCTGTGCGATGGGTTCCTGTAGTTCAGCCATACATTTGTTTGTTCTAATTTTAATTAAGCTTAATACATGGTATTCATGATAATCGATAGAATACATGTTCGTTTATCATATCATGTTAGCTGATGCTGAACCATCAATTTTCTGTAGTAGATTCTTCAGTGATAAAATTTTGGTTCTTGCCTATTTAATTACACTTTTAACAAAGAAACGGACTTCAAGTTTTCTGTAAATCAATCTCTTATGATACTAGAAATTATTTTTATTTATTTTTTGCAACCGATACATTAAAATTACTTAAACTTGTAATCTTCATTAAATTAAAAACAGAATTACAATTAATTCTTAATTATCTAAATAACAAAAAAGAATACAGTTCAGTAATTTGTTCAACCAACATATAATTACACGTTCCTAATTGTACCGGAATCCAATAAGTCCAAAAAATTTAAAAGGGTCTCGTTAGTTCTGCTTTAAAATTTCTTAGTAGAACTATCATCATCAACAAAAGTGAATTCATTAATAAATGAATTAATAATGGTGATTTGCAGAAATTTGTAGCTATTGTCTATATTCAAGGGCTATAGGTGTTTAAAGATTGTATCGTTGAAGTTCTTGATATATATTAATAATAAAGATTAATTTTAGCATGTATTGAGCATATTATTTCATGTTCATGAAAAACTCATCTTATGAGTGAGAACCGACGGTCATGTATAGGCAAGGTAACCGTACTTTATCCATTGCTCGCTTAAATAATCTTGAAACATGCACTGGCGGGACGAAGCGGCTGCGTCATGGATGGCTTTACGATCGCTTCTCGTCGTTAATTAAGAGCTTGTAATTATTTAGTGAAGACGCTTGTGCGCACCCCCGCCGGCAACCAGCCAGTCTTCCCTTTCATCTTTTGCTTCACTCTTTTACTTCCCCTTCATATCTTTCACGCATTATTTTTTTCAACTCTCTCTTTATAATTTTGATTTAAACTCTTCTGATAAAATGCTTTATATTTTTACTTTGTATTTTTATATTCTCAATTATTTTGTACTATTTTATATTTTTTTTTCTCTTCGAAAGCAAATTGTTTACAAGTTTAAGTTAGACAGAGATTTTTCATTTTAATAATTTTTATGATGATGTTGATCGATGAATGATTGCATTATACTTATTATTATTATATAATAAAGTGTTGTTAAAGTGCGAAGAAAAGTTTTTGAAGAAAAAATAATTGAAATGTAATGAATAATGAATTAAAAAATTATAAAGAAAAATTAAGTAAATTTAATCTAATTATTGAGTTGGAAAAAATTGGAGTCCTGATCAAAAATTCTAACTAAAGCTTTAGAACAACTTGAAGCCTTTATTTAAAGAAGAAGTGACAATTAAATATTATAATCAAGATATTGTGGGTACATTAACTAGAACAATCAAATAAAAAATGATTAAAATATTTCATTGATTAAATATTTCAGTTTTAAAGTAATAATTTGATTAATATCAGATGACCTGTTTTATTTTTTGTAAAAATGATAAAAAAAAGAATTCATCCAAATATTTATTATTGCCGTATATTGTCAAAGCATTCACAAAAATTCCGTCATCGTTGATAATTCTGATTCATGACGATAATTCCAACTGTTTCAAACAGCAAATTTTTTTTTCATATAGCTAGGAGTAAAAGCTGTTAAAAAAATAGATTTTCAATCAACTTCAGCAATACGATAATTATTTTCAAACTATTTTATGAGTCTAAATGCTTCATCCTCTGGAAAAGTTCAATAATCTAAAGACATAATAGATAAAAAAATAGCTCAAACAGATTTTAATCAATAACTTATATGAGATATCACTAATCTTGTGTATATAAAAAACCTTGAAACTGAAGCATGATTTCATAAAATTCTTAAGCACAACTTGTAAATAATTTTAGTATAAAAGTGAATAAAGGTAATCTATATCACTTGCATCATGTTCTACAAAATCTGGCTTTTCGTTATGATAATGATGATTTTCATACTATCCATTATGGCAAGTTCACAAGAGTGTAATGGATTGGGAGCACCTATTAGTTATCATCATACTTAGTATAAAAAAAATTATTAATTTCGGTTAATTGATGGAATATATTGATCAGATTAAAATATTTTTAATGATGAATTGCAGTACATGAAAATTTCTTGCTGTGAGCCCTATTATTGGGAAAACTATAGTCAGCAGTGTAAATCATATTTTTAAATAATTTGTATGAATAATCATTCGCTTATATCACTGACTTCAATGTAAACTTATTAATAAAATTAAATTAAAGTACAACATTATAAATTGTATCAATGTGGGATTTCCCTAGATAGAATTCATTGAACTTGAATATTTGAAGAATTATTTTTATGATGTATCTGCCGAAATTTTCGGAAATTTGTTGTAAATAGTAAACGTAATTGGGAATTCCAGTTCTTTATCAATTTAATTATTCTGTAAGTAATATATGTAAATAATAAGAATTCAGATTATTGAAAAATAAACTGACAAAATAAAAAAATTCATCCATTTTTAATTCGATTTTTATAAAAAAATAATGTGTGGTCACAAATATTCAATATTAAATTTAAAAAAAAAGAATAAAATGAATAAAAATATTAATAAAGGTATCAACGATGGAGAGAGAAGGTTTATTGAAAGAAATTAATTGATAAAAGAGATAGCTAATATTTTTACAAATGAATTAATCATTTATGCTCATACTTGGTCGAGTATCTAATTCAATTAATTGTTTATTTTCAAATAAAAAGAGAGTGTATCAAATTTATATAATGTCAAGATAAGATGGGGAAATTCCCAAATAAAGTGTTCTGATTGGTCGATGAGTAGTCCTCATTCATAACTTTTGAGGATATAAAAACTGCAGAATTCTAACAGAAAGCATAGTCGCAAAAATATAACGAAGAATAAATCTTTTTTTTATATTTACTCAATATATTAAAAATTTTTTTTAACTTCAACCATACTAGATAATCATGGCGTTCAAAGCTATCCTATTATTCATTGTCTGTTTATCATTAGCAGTAACAATGATTAAAGCTGGTGAAAGAGGATGTGCAGAAGCTGGAGAATATGTAAGTTGATTCATTATTTTATTAATAAAAAATTTTTCTTCATTTTGGAGTAGTGATTTGATACTTTTATAAACTACTTTTTAACGTTAAAAATGCATACATCTTAATTTTTTTTAGTATTATAAAATGAAAAATTTAAAAAATAAAAATAATTTTCAGTGTCGCACGGGGGAGGCCTGCTGCAGTGGTGTATGTATGACTTTCCGAGCGCGTTGTTCTGGACCATCAGGTGGTTTAATAATTCCACCAGGATACCGACCACCTTCATTCATTCCACCATTGGCACAATTGCCAAATCAAACCAACTGCGCAGGACTTGGATCACCCGTAAGTTAATAATTAATTAAATATAGTACTATTTCATATTTATCATTAGTTCAAAAATAAATAAGTAAATTAATTGTATGGTTGTAGTGTCACACAATGGATTGCTGCGCACCATACTATTGTGGCAGCTATGGAAACCAATGTAAATCACCCTAAAAATTTGATTTCTGTCCACGAATTATATTTTATTAACAATTTTTAAAAAAAAACTTTTTCTGTAATTTCATACTTTACAAAACAATGAAAAAAAAAATAAATAATTCAATTTCCAATTTATTTGAGACTCATTTCTATATTGACAAAACCTTCCTGATGTATTTTTATATAATTTTAAGAAAGCTCTAAATATTAAAATTTTATTCTATGTATCTATTCTGTAGTAAAAATATTTATTTATAATAATCCTAAATATTTCAAAAAATTACTTATAAACAGCTAAAACAATAAAAACTGTAAGGTCTTTAATTTCGAAATGATTTGTAAACAAATATTGTTGTACACAGCTATTCACGAAAACTTGTTAGCTTGCACAAACCTTGATATGCCCAAAAATTTGTCCAACATGCATATCTTAGACTCTTTCATTGCATTGACATTGGTTTGCACAATTTTATTGCATAAGCAAAATTCTATAAAATAATTGTTAAATATTTAGAATCGACGGTAGATTTTCGAAAAAATCATCAAATACTTATCAACAATTTATTTTATGTGGCGCTCTTGAACTTTTGGTCAATGTTAGATGGATTTTGATAAATAATTGACAAAGGGTCTTGGAAAGGATTGCCTTCTAAGAGGAAGAGGAAAAAGAGAAGATTCTTCCGTTTGATTTAAGTCGGAAGGATTATTTTGAAGAAAAAATATATTTAAACATAAAAATTACATTTTATCAATAAAATATATCTTATCGATTAGTCTATATGCGATTATAATAAATTTTTCAATAAAAAAAAACGAAAAGTCTTGGGAAGAAAGAATTTCATCCACCCTGATGTTTTTTTCTTATTCATCCTTGCTTAATTATATTCTCCAGCTTCTTTTTTTATTGACTTTTAACATTTCAATTGAATTATATACATAACTTACGTTCTATGTTGGGTTCAAAGGGCCTTTATTGACACATCTTTTGTTACCGCATATTTTATTATTCGAATTTTCATTTGATCAATTACATGAAAAAAATAAAAATTTGGTTAAAAAATGATTCATCGTAGCTCACAGTAACAACACCTCGAAAACATAATACTGGGTTTTTCCTCGTCTAAAATGCGAATAAAGTTCTGATCATAATTACTTTAACAGTAAGAAGAATGTCCAAAGATAAGTAGTCTAATACTTATGTATCTTTCATAAATTGAGAGTATTCAATAAGTCCATTAATTCCCCAAAAACTTTTTGATAACACTTGAACATACAGAAACGATAGATAATTTCAAGGTATTTCAATTTTTTTCATTATTTTGTAATGAATAATGTCACTCTAGTTTTCAACTAAAAATCGCCGTCATTTAATATGTTAAATCTGAGCTATAATATACTCATTTTAATATGAATACTATAAACAAATTGGAAAAACATAAAAATAAAATTTGCTAAATTATATTGATGATATCAAAAATAATAGAGCCCCCATTTTGATTCCATATTAACAATGACATCAGTATCAAAGCAAATAAAAAATGATTTATTACTCAATTATTCATTAAATGGTGGCAGAAGTTAGTACGTATAATAAAGGTTTTTCCTAAATTAGACATTTTAGCTTGATAAGATAAGAACTAAATTTCCCACATCAACTACTGATAATAAATTTTAGGCAAACATATAAATACTATGTAATTAGGTAGTCTATCATATCAGTTACCTGAAGACTATTCAACTAACTAGACTTCGACGTTATATTAGTATTGCTAAAAATATTCTTATTATTTAATCACAAATTTAATAACTGATTACTGATCAATATTACAATATGTCTTTTAAAACGTGTCTTTTCTTGGTCATCTTCTCTCTGGTAGTAATGATGATTGCTACAGATTCAAGAATGTGTTTACGAAATGGTCAAAAGGTAAATTACATCGTATTTATCTCAACATAATATATTGATATCACTGATTTTATTTATTTATTTGAAAATTGTTTTAAAGAATTTCACTAAAAATCATTGAAAATAATTTTTAATTAAATTTTTATATTTTATTCCGAGAATTATTGTGATAACTTTTCTTTTTCAATACAGTGTTATTCACATGATAGCTGTTGCTCGAAAATGTGTCAACCAATGAGACACTTTTGCATACCAGGCCAAGCTCTTGCTGCTCCTCCAGGATTCAGAGCACCCATGCGTCCAATTCCACCACAAGAACCGGGTCAATCAAATTGTGCTGGATATGGATCTTCAGTAAGCGATCACATTCCATTAATTTCATTCCATTTAAAATGATATTTAGTTATTTATTCATTATTTTATTCTTTTTAGTGCCATTCCACCAATTGCTGTGCACCTTACCGTTGTGGAAACTTTGGTCTAAAATGTGTGTATTAAATTGTCCACAAATGAATTTTGAATTTGAATGTCACTCGTTTTTTATTCATTGATGCAATTATGATGTAAAGGGCTGTTATTTTATTCATCTTTTCTTTATATTTTTTAAATATTAACTTAAATCAATAATTTTCTATTTTATTTTTATAAAAACCTTAAGATAAAAACATTAACATTCAATATTTATGTGTAAGCAATATTTCTTATAAATAAAATAAAAAAAGTAATGAATAATGAAATAATGAAGTACACACGTAAATATGAAAATAAATAAGAGTTCACATACAAAAAAAATTCAAAGATTTAGCAACGTATCGACGGGTCGAATGAGTTTGGTGAATGTGTAGTAAAACGATGGAAACACGGCTCGGCGTGATCAAAGGATCCTTACAAATTGAAACAAATCAGGCACGTAATGATAATTAATCCAATGAGCTTATTAATATAGAGCATGTAGCAGCTCTATACATATCAGAAACCCACGTTGGGATGTACGTACTTTACAAGGACGAGTATGAGGTTGAGCTCTCAATTATGCCAATGAGTTATGACTATGTTGCATACTTTATGCCAGCTAAAAAATAGAAGAGTTAATAAACTAACCGAGAACTCAGGTATAAATTATACGAAAATACTTTAAAGAGATATGAGAGAGTGAAGATTTATTTTTCTATTGGTTATTATAAATTTTTAAATAGAAAAAGTTGCTTTTTGTTTGGAAGAATTTTGGCTTTTTTTGTATTTCTTTTTTTTTTGTATCATAAACTACTATTGATAAAAATTTTCAATGAAAATAAAGTGTTTACATGAATTAATCAATTCAATCAATGCTCATTTTTATATTATTTAAGAATATATTTATTTAAAAATACATAAAGTTTATAAATTTTTGAACAGTTTTTTTTTTCATTTATAAGAGTGTATATGAAGGTATTAAAAATTAGATAGAATCATTGTTCTTATCATATATATTGAGATGCTATTAGCGAGTTGTTTTCTTACTTCTAGGCCATTTTTGCAGCTATATTTATCGCGTGAGATGCAAAAATAAAAATACACTAACTGCCGGTATAAAATGACACCCGCGGGGTGAATTACGATGAGCGGATTTTGCAGGTGGGTTTCGTGCTGTCATTATCGTTATGGTACTCTTCACCATCAAATCGGCCGTGACCAGTTGTGTATACATGACACTAATATCTTCCACAAAAACAATTCCGCTATCCTTTGTTGATAGAAAGTGTTGCATAATTTACACAATATATTTATTTTCAATGCACATAACTCCATCGACTTCTTGCTTCATTTATTTTCAACTATTTGTCATTAAAAATTGTCCTTACTTTTAACTAATCATCATTTAAAATAATTGAATAAATAAAGTTATTTAATCTATAAAACTTGGCATTTCACTATTTTCCCTAATCAAAAAATTTCTACCCTCCTATCACCGAACCACCTATCCATCAAGCCACCTTATTCCAGTTCTGAATAAGAATTACAGCTATACAAACTCTAAATTTGCAAAGTGATGGAGGATAAATATATCGAAGTTCATACCCTGCAACGCACATCACTGTTTGAACCATTAAATTGTTCAGGACATGAGTCTATATATACATATATATATTGTATGAGAAACATCCTGGTACAGGTTGACGCGCGTGTAAACGTGACACATGTAGTAAACTTGACAAACATGGCGTGACTTGACGATGTTGGGTGTGAATAAGAAAGACCGAGAGTACACGGGAAAAGAACTGAAGGTACAGGAAGGAGATATCTAAATAGAAAAGTCAGAAATATATAACATTAGGGTAATATTATCAATACGTTGGCATAATAGACCTCTAGGTAGCCTTTGAATTAAATTGGACACACCCGCTATTGTCATCGGGTCGAACAATCGTTTTGCAAGGAGCAATGAATGTATCTCTCTCTATATATAATACGACAACATCAGTATGTCACGCGAGTGAAATCGTGCAGAGAAGCTTTTCATAAAGTTGATGGCAGTTGTCATTTGCTTAAGTCTTATAAGAACCTGATTGACTTACCTGATGGAACCCAAGGTAGTTCTCTATGCTGTGTGTTGCAAAAAAGACTTCTCCATCGCAAGTGAGTATCAACAGGAAACCATTCAGTGCCTAAGAACAAAAACAAAATATTAACATGACTTTTTATGAGGAAGCGGTGGTAACAACTCAGTTACGCATTGAAAATAATAAACTTTTGAAAGATGATATACTATTTTTCATTCAGTGTATCTGTGGGATAAGTTTATTGCCAGGACAATAGCCGAAAAAAATAAGAAGAAAAAAATGAAGATACTCATGAGATCTACCAGCAAATTTGTTGATGTCACGCTACAGAAATGGACGATACACACTATATTGATCTCTATCTAAGTGTATCAAGAGTTTTGTGAAGAGAAAAATGCTGATAGCACATGAAGACTTATCATGCAAGAAAACGATGTCGTCAACACGTTTTAAGTGATGTAAATTACCTCTTGAATTATCATCGATTTATAGCAGTGAAAAAAAAATCCTAATTGAATAAAAATAGAATGCAATCATTTTGCTTGTTAGCTTTATCAGTAAATTTTGTGTTTAAATAATTTTGTTTGTTTATCATTAAGCAAAGAGTGGACGCTTTTGGAAGTAGTGTTTTCAGTCATGCAATTTACATCGGAATTTGCAAAACTGTTTGTTCCAAAGTTTTCTCATTTATCGGTTTAACTGATAGTATATTTGCTAGTGAAACGCATACATTTTAACACTTTGGTCGTATCTGGATGATTTTATTGCTTGTCAAACTCGAGTTTCAAAATATCCGATTTAGTTTTAACAGCCTACTCTATTGATTTGAGTTTCAAATCAACTTCCAAATCGTTTCTATATACTAGACTAAATATGTATGTATTTGTTTTCTTTTATAAGTCTTCCATCGTACCAGGTACGATAAAATACTTTTCATTGCTACTTTTTCTTTAAATGTATTCATAAGTCTTTATTATTATTCATTTAATCTTTCGCTAGTTCTTTATTCAATTAATCAACGTCAAATTATTTGATTTGTTAACCAAAGATTTTTGCAGCAAGATAATTACATGAAGCTTATATCGTCACGCAAAATGGAATCCATGGAGATTCCGCATGCGCAGGGATGCTGGGTTTCCATTGGTTCCCTCAACCAACTAAGGGTGAATTTTACCACAGGTTACGTTAGATTAAGTAAGACCGGGGGTGGGATCTTTCTATTACAATATTTCCTCTCCTTGTCTTCTGATTCTAATCTGATTTGGTAAAATCTAAAGCTTCCTTATCCAACCTTTAAATATGGCCGATGAGAAAAAATGGTCTGATGTTCCTAGTTATTTTATCATGAATAATAGAAAGCTTTTTTATTACACTTAAAGTTTCTTCAAATAGCTGTTCACAAATCTTTGTGCTGATAGAATTAAGAAACCCATCAGATATGTGATTAATCAACTTTTATCATCATCGTTATGACCATCATTGTACCAGTGTCGTTATCATTGAAGAACATTAACCTTCCATGACAATTTCACCTGCTTCAATAGTTGATGGTACAGCTTGATATCAAACATGGTAAGGATTATAATCAACTTGTAAACGCTATCATTCCAAGTCACTGACACCAGCTGGTCAGACGTAGGTCTAATGTGCAATGACTGCTATCACCTGATCCTCATTATCATTTTTTATCAACACAAGTTATAAGCTGTTTTAAAGCAATGTATATTGTGCAGTAGTTTTTTTTTCGTAAATAGTAGGACCATAAGGTCCTTTTCTCGTGTACTAAAGTCTCACTTGTTGCTGATGGTTGCATGTCTAGCCCTTGGCGGTCGAGCATTTGACTTCAAGCACGATCGCACGTATATCCACAGACCAATTTCGTGAGTACCTGATGAATTTTTCGGTCTTATTAATAGAAAAGTATCTGTTTTAGCTTAAAAATTTTGAAACTGTTAAAGTAATCTTATTCTTCGTATATATCAATATTATACTTTATTAAGATTAGTAGGGTTTTGATTTGTAACTGATTTGCATTACAATCAGTGACGATAGGCTAAGAATTAGGTTGAGACTTAAGGGGAAGCGGAATTCCGTTTCGAAGCAGACAGTTGCTGTGAGTCAATGCCAGAGGGGTGATTTGAAGGTAAAACAAGACTAGGTTGGGTAGTGCGCACCACCAACTGTATAGAACTGAGGAATAGGGTTGGGATGATATAAGGTAAGGTTGGTAAGCGACGAGGCTCGCCTTGGTCTGGCACCGCTAGTCCTTCTTGTATTGATCGCATGTTCCTTTTTCTTCCCTTAGATACACCACCACCAACTTTCTCTTGTTTCTTATTAGTTCAACTTACCTTCTTCTATCCTAAGAAATCTTGACGTTTCCCTTATTTTTTTCCTAAAGAAACTTGTCTTGTAATTTATGCAGTGAAACATTCTTTTAAATTAAACATACTTTCTTGCTTGGAATATGCTATTTTAAGTTAAAGAAATTTCTTAAAACAACCAACTAATAAATTATCAACTAAAACATCACACTCATTTGTTAAATGATTCAAGTTGTTAGATAGTAAAGTAGCGATCTTAGGACTTGGAAAAATTCTTTAATGGTCCAGTAGTCTACAAACTGATATTAAAGAGTCATAAGTAAATATTTATATGAAATTAAAGCAAAAAAAGCAAGAAAAATAACAAAATCTTTTGTCAATGTTTTCGAGGCTATGATAAAAGTGGATGATTACAAAGCGACATTTGCAATTTGTAAGAAAAATGCATATGAGGTGATCCATCAAGGTACGAAGCGGCGGTAACGATCCAGCCGAAAGAAGCCCACGATGTACCTTGCCTATTGATTTATGGAAATCAAGGCTCGGTCGGAGTTCTCTCTTTCCCTTTTCTTTACTCTCTTACTCTGTGCTTCGATGCTTCGTATAAATAATTCGCGTTCTCCGAACTCACGCTCGTGGCAGGGCCTCTCGTTTTTTCCAAGTCCTTCTTTTTCTCTTCAAGTCCTCTGGTTCTCTTTCTCACTTATGTGCACACAATCCTACACCCACACCAAGACCCCAAGGTTCCGCTGCCGCTGATCCTCATAAACTTTATAAACCTTGATTGTAAATCCACTTTATGACAACTTGCTCGCCATCACCACCAAACTTTTCAGAATTATGAGCTAGGCTTTATTCTGATGTGCAAAGTATTGCAATGAAAAAAAAAGCATAAAATATGATGAAAAAAATATTTTCTTGACATCAAGGATTTTTTTTTATTTCCAATATCGAAATAAATGAACTTATTTATCAGGCGAGAAAACGAAAGTGTTGATCACGTCCAGTCTGTCATTCATGTAGTCGTCACAGGCGCCTGTTTAGCAATTGGCTTCAGGCACGGAGGCATAAGAAAATCGTAATTAACGAGCTGACAATTAATAACCGACAGTTATAGATGCCGGCACGTTCTCTGTTGAAGCTTTATATATACTTGACTATAGGTTTTATTCATTCCTATTTCCCCAAGTGTAAGTATTACATACCAACTACGTGTGCACACTACCTAAAATGCGACGGCGAGAGTGTAATAGCATCGCATGATACTCTACCATTAATCCGCATACCCTTCTTTTACTTCGGAGGCATAGACACCTTGTACAGCTGGGTTTCATAGCCGGTTCATCAGCCGGATATATCGTTCTTTCTTATACACATGTTGGTACATCTATACTCTTACATCCACGCGCCTTTTCTGCACACAACATCATCGTCTCAAGACTTCTGACTCCGGAATAATACTTTTATCTTATTTACAAATAAAGATCTTTAATGCGCAACACTTTATTTACTAGGTAAACACCTTCATTTCAAAATCTTTCTGGCCTCTAATAATCTAGATGTTAAAATATTTTGTTCATTAATTTTAGTCTAATGAGATTGTTCGATCGCGTGTACATAAAATAAAGTTGTTGGTTTTGATATGAAATAATGTAAAGATAGATAGGGAGTTTACTTATAACGAAAGGGAAACTGATTTGAGTTCATCGATCAATCTGCCAGGATATAAAAGAGGATAGATCCTGCTGCTGAAGATTGATGAACTGAATGAATACATGGTGTCAAGTTTTATTGACTACTTCAATAAATATATTCATATATTTACAGTTTAGTGATCTTCAATAATTTGGTTGATCCAGACTTAATCTTATTTATTAGCAACAGTTATTAGAGTTATGTTGATTCATTCTTTCTATATTAATTTTCTAAATGTGATGATGGATTTTGGACTTAGTATCACGTTTTCTTTCCTAGATTTAAGCTTGACTTTGAGTCATAATCAACTGAATAAGCTTGGATAAAAAATTTGTGTTCTTGAAGGTATCATGTGCTATGCCAATTTCAATGAAATTTGACGTTGATTAGTTGTGCTAATGATCGAGAATTCCTTGATAAGCTAAAATCATCATGACAAGTTGTATCATTTTGCTATTTTTGTGACGATTCTAATGAAAAAAAGGGCAACCAAAAAAGGTGGAAATTCTTCTTAATGTAAGATTGTAAAATAAAAACCTCACAAATTACCTGTAAAAACATTTCACCATCCAGATGATGATGATCATAAGCTGCAAGTGCAGCCATTTCTCTCGCTCGATAGTGAGTGTCTCGATGAGAATTTTCCTCTTTGTCCTTATGCATCACAACTGCAATAAAAAAGGTAGACATTTTAGTTGAAGCAAAAAAAAAATTAAATAGACTACAAAAAAGAAACAAGTGCTCATTAATATCCTTAAACTGTGAAAGTATGAATTATATTGTGCATTAGTTTTTGTATATATATGGTATGGTATACAGTAATGTAAATAAAAAATGACCAACTGTAAGAATATTTGTGTGGAAAATAAGATGGGTTGCTGATGTTCGCGGTCAGCGTGAGTTTAATGCAACCAGTTTATTATTATTTAGCATAAAGTGATCGCGTATGGTCTAATTATGGCACGCATAACAAGTAGGAGGGTGGGCAGGTGTATCTTTCGCGGTGCAACAGATCGACGGTTTAATACTTTTATATTAAGGCCCCCGAGAGGAAGTGTCGCTCACACTACGTCCTGATGGGCGGGGAAATATTGAACGTTCTCTTGTACATTTTTCTAACTTACAACAATAACTTGTTCAATTATTTACAATGTGTTTATTTAGTAATATAAAAAGTTAATAATTATATGCCTGAACTAATATCACTTTCTTTAAATAAAAAAATATTATCATTAGTAATTTATTTAATTTATTAATAGAAAATACTATGTAGAGGAGTAACTGAATTTTTTTTTGTTTGTAGACATAAAAAATTAATTAATTAACTAAATGAAGTAATTGAATAAGTAAATGTATAAGCATAAATCAATGATAAAAAGTTGCATCATAAGTGAATTATAGTCTCTAATTATTTATGTGAGTATAGAAAGAATAAATTCTATTGTAAGCAGCAAAAAAGTTTTTTATTTATACCAAAATGATGGAGCTAAGTGTACTTTCTTATCCAGTGATTCTTACCATCAGTTTGAGAATCAATTAAAAATAATTAATCAGAGAGATAAGTTTAGGAATGATTTATTTTTAATATCACAAAAAAATTATTTATTTAATAAATACGTTCAGCTTAAAATTCAATCCGATCTTCTTTCTGAATTTGTTTTCATTTGTGGTCGTTTCTCAAGTATCATGTAGCTTCAATCTTGTTAAAAAAATGCCTGTGAAGTTGAAAACTTCATTTTTCATTTCTCACATACCATAGATGTTTTTTAAAATTATTTTTATTCCTTTTGGAATGAATATTTATAAAACAAAAATGCAAGGTTTGTGTGAAAGTAAAACTTTTCTCATTTGTTTTTTAAATAATAAATAAAATATATTAGCTAAGAAGTTAGCATTATAATCGTTTGATAAATAAATATAAATAACCCATAACTAATTGTTATGGGTCATTATGTCTCAATAAATCTAAATCGGAAAAGTAATAAAGACGCGGCAATCACCAGTACAGTAAGTTATCCATGGACGACTAAGCAAGTTCGTTGAGCTTTTTAAGTGGTCAGTCGTTGAAGGATGCATTGATGCGTGCAAGTGAAGACGAAGAATAAAGTTCTATAGAACTGATGGTTGTATTCATAAAGAGAGCTGCACGCACTGACATTGTGCACGCGTTTGCCACGCGACTCAGCCAACCCAGATCTCAAGTTTGATTCACATAAACAAAGATTAAGAAAGTCTGACTGATTTATCAAACTACAATATTTATAATTTCATTAAATGAGTCTAAAAAAGACTTTCTGCATTTAATTTCATTTAAAAAATATTAATAAAAAATAACAAAAGTAAATTAATGAGAATCTTAAGCAATATTACCACCACTTATCAATCGATTGGAGGGTATTTAATAAAACTATCATCAAAGTACACAAGATGACTTTGAATTTGTAGACACATTCTGGTATTTATTGAGTGATGACTCGAGGATTTCGTTACACGTCGATTGAAAAATCAACCCATATTCCCCTGATTATCTTGATGTCTTTTACGAATTAAATAAAGATTAATGTTTGATGTTTTTATATATCGAGAAGTTCTTTTTTTTTTCAAAATGTGACACGTGTCTTGATATGTATGTTTACTAAGTATCTAATATCATTCTATCTGTCGTTAAATAAATAATCACACTATATATTTGTCAGAAGATATATCGAAGTGTATACATTCTTGATTATTTTCTATAAAAAACAATTGATGAGGATTATGGTTATGCACATTTCAATAAAACTGAGTTAAAAATACAAATAATATTGAATAAAATGTAACATGAATTTCATTCTATAAAAATATTTTTGTTCAAGACAATTATAATTGTCATATAATGACTATATGTATATCTCAACTTATTTTTGAATCATTTTGTATGCAATGCAACATCATAAAAACTTTATGCATGCCTAGTAAGTGACTATAGCTCATGCCAGTATGTAACTATGATATAAAATTCAGACAAAAAGTTTAATACATAGGTTTACTATGTAACCAATCAAAAAATAACTGTTATTTTCGACGATTATAGATGTTATGGTTGATAGAACAGTATGGTACAATTTTTTATTCAAGCTTGCAGGAAAAAAGCTTCTTTATTTTTCCTGAGATAAAGTATGTGCATGACTCTCAAAATTACCTTTGATATGATGAACATTATTACTTATATTAAACATCAAAAGGGATTAAATTAAACTATTCGTAATGAAGATTAAAAAATTGTGGAAGTATTTTTTACTGACTATACTCTTGGAGGAATTTAATTTACCAGAAAAATCATTATAAATTTTTTAGTGCTTAGTTCTGAAGAAATCCGATGTTGCGACATAATAATTTACATTGGCGCCAATTTTTTCTACATTACTTAATGAAGTTTATATGAGAATGAAATTTAAGGGTTGTGACGAAAGTACATCAGTCATTACGAATATCGAATACTAAGAGAAGAGGCGTGTCATTGGAGACAGCTAAGGGTATAAATTTGAAAGATTAATCTACATTTCCATTAGCTACAACAACTGTGGTAGTCGCAAAAAGCTTTCTCGCGCCCTCATTTATATTACGTTTCAATTATCTAATTAATTGTCAGATTATGCATATGACACCGGAGATTGGGTGATAAGGCCTATCCCAATCTCATCATCTATAACATAGTATGATTCTCTCCATAAATCTCTAAAAAAAAAATTCTTTCGAAACAATAATAAACTTAATTTATACATTTTTTAAACTATAATCGAAATTTATGCTCTAATTTTTTATGAATCATAGAAATTTAATTAATGCTAAAAGATTTAATCTTTTCACTTGACACTGTGCAAGCAATAGTTTTTTTTTAATATTATTAAAACTCAAATATTAATCATCAATTATTTTTCTCTTATTTTTAAAATTCAGTTTTTTCTTCATTTTCAAGTTAAGTGTTGCATATGTGGAATTTCTAAACAATCGTCGCAGTCGTAAAGTAAACAGTAATAGCTCTAGTATATAAAAAAGTCGATATTTTTTAAGGCTGCTAAATGTACTTTGGCATACAATAATGAGTTACTCAAATGCTTTGTTCAATGAAGACCAAAGAGATGGTCAACACTTTTAAATACTTCGCAGAGCAGGTAATGTACTTTACTTGTACTCTTTAAGTCTTCAAATTTTTGAGAGCTTCTCATTGATATTCTGTTGAAATAAAATAAAAAATAAATAAATAACATTTGTAAATTTAATAAATTATTAATAATATAAATAAAAGATTAAATAAAAATTATTTTATTCCCTTTTTGTGATGCTTATAAAAATCAACTACCCATCACAAAAATAATTTTTCCTCTTTTCTCTTCCTACATAAGTCTTTATATAAATTTTACAATTAATCCATCACATAAAAGGACTTGGAAATTTTTACAACAAGCACAATGACAAAAAAGAGAAATTATAGAAGTGAAACTTGATATGAAATACAGATTTTAAAATAAATAATGATTGCCGGAGATGAATAATTTTGCAATAACACCATTCGATGAGAAACATATCCTCTGTGACGTTCGCGTGACTTTCCGATAAAAGATGAAGAACTATTATGGTTTGTACCATTTGTATACTCATCAGTACGAAGCTAATTGCAATCTCCAATCCTTTTTAATTCGATTTACCAATGGAATTTAGCGAGTAAAATTTCTTACATTTATTTCAATTTTCGTATTTTGTTATCACGATTAATATGAGAAACTTGGTATCTGATGTTTGACACATGTAACTAATACACGGTAATTATTCATTTATAGAAGCTATCTAACTAGAATATATGAATGTAATTTGTCTTATAAGTCTTTAGAGTATAGTTGCAAATGAACTTGATAAAATACATAAGATTCTCTAATATTTTTTATTTACAGAGAATTTATTTATAGATATAATAATATAAATACATATAGGTATGTATATAAAGAGAAAATATTAGTACATCAGGATATAATTGAATTGATTATTTCCAGGAATTCTAGAGAAAATCATCATTTTAAAAAGGAAGTGAATATTTCTCTTCATCTCTAGCATGCCTAGATATTTTTATCTGAATATAATATTTAGTATCATCATTGTTCAAATAATGATTTCAATTATTGAATAGATTTATTAATTTGTGGATGTATTGATGGAATTTTCTAGAAATTTTTAAAGATAGAATGTTTATTTAGTAAAAATAAATGTCAAAGAATTTTTTTGCATATCCTATTGATCAATAGAAATTAATAGATGTATTAATAATTAATCATTTCCGAGGATTTAGAATTTTTTTCCTATAAAATTGTATACAAAATTAATTACAGATAATACCATTATTGTTATATTTATTTACCATATTTTTTATCTAATAGATAATATAATAATTAATTTTTAATCAAAAAATTAACATAACAAGGTAATATAGTGATTAAAAAAATATATTTGTTAATAATAATTGTATAATAATTTTTAATAATTTGACTAATGGTTTTTCTAATCACATTTGGATGTTTTTAAATAAAAGAACATTTTATTAATCAGATCTCTATTCCTACTTACAAATAAGTCGACAGTAAATGAAGTCACTTGATTCCACCTCAGAATTGGTAATCATTATTCTACAAGTTTA